CTACTTCACATTTAATTGAAACTCATATTTACCGCGAAGGTCGCTGAAAGCCAAGTTTAAAATTCAGTCTATTAATAAATTGATAAGAAGCTTAATTTGAAACCACTGTACGATATAAGTCAGACAGAGCAAGGTTATGTTATGATAATAAGCCTGGTGACCTGACCTTGGTAACAAATATTTGAATCGAGACATCTGCTTTCACGCTCTTTTGTGCTAGATTCTCACTTATCATTAACAAAATACAATTATAAAATTTATTTGACATTATCATTATGATGAAATCCAACTGCACACTTATTAATGTAAAAAGTGTATTCGTATTATGACAGGCTGTGTGAATGTTTAACAAACGGGTGTGTGTCTATCAAATGCAAATTTTCTGCGATAAAGTTACGACATTTTTACACAGTATGCAAAATAGACTGACTTAAATCATGTATAATTATAATTTTTATTTTACTTAATGCATTAGTGAGAAATGAATTGATGACAACGTCATATAAAAACATCAACATTCTTTGCGACTTTCTGTCTCTCTTCTTACACTCGTTATGTGAGCATCGTTGAGAGAGACAAGATATCAGGAGCCTATCTGAAGAATTTTTGGCGGCAAAAAACTAACACCGACTTGGATCCTGTGGACCAGCTGCCGATCTTCTGGCAGAAGTCGAGGGAATCACCCTACAGATAATGAAGGAATGACTAGGAAGGGTACTAGAGTACGTTAGCAATAAACACAGACTAAAGACGAACTACACGATATTCTTGGGAAAATTTTACAACTTTACGTATAAGTGTGTAGGATGTGTTTCACCAGATCACTGTGAAATACTTGATTCAAGAAATAAATGTCAAATTAGTAAAACATATGGTTTACTACATTCAAAATGTCATTGAACATTAGATTTTTGTGAGCTTTGGATAAATAAACATTCAATGAATAAAAATGCTGAAACTTTAACACTTCCGGCTCAGATTTTTACAAAATCAAATCTTTGACAATGATGTGATATTTAAAGGTTATGTTAATGACAAAAACAATCTCATCAATTGTATTGCTTAATACGAAAGGTTCGTGGTATGATATTTTATTAAAAGATCTAGGAAATAAAACTATTTTATTACCTTAACATTCTATTAGGAAACTAATTAATCTCATTCTTGATAAAAAAGCAACATTTTTTATACACTATTCTATAGTATTAAGATGGTTAAAATCCTTGATAAAAATTGTATATTACATTTTGACATATATAGAATTCATTAAGTGTTTATTAGTAAATACCTTCTAGTTAGATTCTTTGAAAATATTAATATTACAGCCTACATGAAACATTACATGATCATTATTAAAAATTAAATTAGTTTGCTTATTTTGAAATTGACACACCTGTTGTTTTTTTCCTGGAAGATAATGTTACAATGTTCTTGTTTTAATTGGAAGATAAATGAATAACGATGGTCTCTCGGGATAGCCTCGTGATTTGCTATTATGTAAACCATACTGTTTGAACTAAGGCTTTTTTTTTCAAAATATAAAATTGCTAATAATGCAAAAAATTGAAAGCATAAAACGGTTGACAACACGTGCTTTATACCAAATTTCATATAATTCAGATATCGAATCGAATGCCTGACAGAAGCAGACAGAATTGTGTTTCTCCTGCTCACTGATTAAAGCAACGCGTCTTTGTCCTGGTTAAAGCCACGCCATTATTTTTACCATATTATAATGCGTTTCTTACGACAGTGTGTTATAAAGTATAATAGTGAAAACTTTCTGTTAAGACCATCAAGGGGACTGGAAAAAAATGGTCTTAATTGTTAGGTGGTCTAAATTGTGGAAATTATTATAAAGGCACATATATTCCATGGCCACTCTATTTGAATTTTTACTTATGTTTTTAAACAATATGTATTATAACCTTCAAACATTACTATAAATTGATGTTATAGTATTCAATCCTCATTAGAAAGTAAGTCTGGAGAAATTCAAGATAAAAGTTTCCATAGGTCTTGTTTCATATACATAATTCCCATATTAAATAAGAAATTAATTCTTCAGAAAATAAATGTGCAAAAAGTAACATTAAATTACACTGATTTTTACCCAACTGTATCAAAAAAATGTCAAACGTCACAGTTTTAAGACATTGTTTTATCAAGTGTCATGCCTAAGAATATTCAAGCCGATGAATAACAAAAAAGCCTGTGGTCTGAAAAGGTGTTGACTGCATTACCATTGGGAAAGTGGGTAGTTTTATTGTGGATCATGTTACCATTACATTAAAGAAGAGACACATTAATGTTGTTCTCTTCAAAAAGGACTGGGCTTCATTCAGGGGTGTTCTTAAGTAGGCATCTGAGGTCTTCCTCCACCAGTGTTGGTGCAGCCTAAAATCCAACAAAAAGGAGAGAACACATTAGTGACGCGTCCCATAGTCAGCAGTAAAATATATATCTTACCGACGAATACCATTTTCTAAGGGAGAATATAATAGTCTGAATTTTCAAAAGTGGAAATAAGGACAATGTAAGGCATTATAGGGGTAAATGTAATACACTAGTAAAAACTAGTAATATTTCAAAATTTTACTCGCATTGTTTCAATCCCTTAAACTGCATATCAAAAATCTTTACTCAGTGATTGCAGATTTTATATTAAGGATATAAAAAAACATAAACCACTTTCCAACAAAATATAAGTATTGAATTGTTAAAGACATTTAAAGTATTTACATGTTGGTAAACTTGCAGTCAAATGAAAAGGATTTGTATCCTATTTTTTTTTAGTTTAAACATGTCAATGGTGACAAAGAAGAAATGTACAACATTCAAGTAAACGGTGCTTACATAGACAATTTGATCAGACCTAAACAGTGTCAAATACACATATCTAATATGTGGCTTACTTAAAATGAAAAAAAAATATGTAAGAAATTATCTATCAAGTAATTATACTTTGCGTTTCAAACAATGGGACTATCAAACTATTTAGAAATCAATAAATTGAGTAAAAAATGATTCATAATATTGGTTACTTTTTTGGCACTCTGTTCCAAATTCTTAAAATATTCTTTATTGTTTTGTACCACATTTTCTCGTTTGATTGATAAACAATAAGCTATATATGTGTGTGTGATTGATAATATCGGTGAATGCCAAATAAAGGTTGTAATGTCGTGCTGTAATAATAAACGAAATATTTAAACTAGTTATACTGGGAAATATACGATGTCGACCGAACATGTACGACTTATGTTGTCTTTTCCTCGACAGGTTCATATATAATTCTTATAATCAATGTTAGATATTTACGGAAAAAGATAACAAACAAAAAGTATCTTTAAAAAGATACTCGGCCGAAGTCAAACTTGTTAACTTGCATAGGATAAGCTACTACTAATCATGCTAACCGCAAACAGAACATTTTATTCGTCCTCAATAGTTTTAGTTCATTTTTACCCGCAATGTTTTCCCGAAAAAAAATGACAAAATATACTTCTTTAATAACTTTGACTATAGATAAATTCATAACCGAATAACCCTTCTTCCCAGCTGAAAAATACCAAGCCACCAGACGACCTTGACAATGGCGTTAAATATGATATTAATAAGTGGTTAGAATTTACACTGGGTAAACTATAAAATGAAAATATCAATTGAAGAAATGAGACACTGTGTACTGAATGATATTTCAATATGAAAATTCCGAAAATAAGTTATGATACTTTTTAATGATTTTTTTTTATCAATATAAAAATTCCGAAGAATAAGATATGATACTTTTTAATGAATTATTTCTTTTTTATTTAGTTGTATAAATCATTATGTAAACTGTCATACATACATGTAGATGTTTTTCTCGAAATTAATATTTTATAAATAAAAAAGTTTTAAACAATGTGGGCAGCAGCTGTTTGGTAAATATTTCTATCAATATAAAACATTGCTATATAATTGTTTACCAGAAAAAAAACTCTCTAAATTATATAAGTTTTATATAATGAATGCTAGTTGATGTAAATGCCAAATCAGAAATAAATATCATTATTTAGGAATATACAGGTCTCAGGAAATGCGCGTAACAATTAATAGATTTGACTTTATGTTCGAACTAGTATTAATCGTTTATAAAAACAACACTGACATACTTCTTTTTAAAAAGCAGCCTCAAATTATTACTTTCTGATGAGCAGATGTGTTTAGTATTTTCCTTTCTGATATTTCCTCCTTCAATTAATTTGAAAATAAGCTTTATTTTTACAATTTAGATAAGAAAGAAAGATTTCCCATCTGGTTTTATTTTTTGAGTTGATTGTTTTATAGAGATTTTCCAAATTGAAGGTTTTTTTTTCTTTGTTTTCATTAACATCTGCAGAAGCACGAGGTGACATTTTAAGTTGTATGGCTCCAGATGATCAAAAACATAGAAAATCAACGTTGAGAAAAATGTACTTAGATTTTAAGAAAAGTAAAAAATTATTCATAATACATGATATATTCAATTTATGACTGATTTTGCAGTAGTTATTACCATATTATGGTGCATGACTAATGCAATAACGGACTTTTTGCATATCCGGATCTCTTTTTGGTTGTTTTCGTTGATTTTAAGTACCGTCTGCAATGTGTAAATTACTTTCTTTTTACACTTGCCAATATTTTATTATTAAATATTTTTACAATTTTTCATGAAAATTAGCATGAATCTGGAGGCATGCTGCTTGAAAGCCCGCAATGGGGGGGGGGGGGGGGTTAATAAGTCCGACCGCATCTGCAGATGTTAATGGACGCAAACAGGTGCATTGACACTATCGTTGCATAAAAAATATACTTCCAAATCAGTAATTTAGCGTTTCAATATCTGTATTTTGTGAAACGAAACCATGTTATTCTGAGGAAATGAGGTTCCTATAGGGAAAAGAAAGCCGTTATAAGATTATCTAGATGTTAAAGTATAGTTTGAAGCACTTTATTTTTCCGGCGTCTTGATCTTTATATATAGTCGTAAATTTTACTTTGTATAATCTTAAGTCGGATTAATGGTTTTGTATAAATTTAAAAACATAAACTTCAATAAAGTACATAACGGATAAATAATGCCTTACGGCAATGCATTGAATGCTTAATATTACAAAAGTTATAACACTAAATCATCCAAAGCTGCGATCCCCGTTTAACCCGTTTTTTTATCGTTACTAATTTCTGTTTAAATATGGTCACTATATGAACGAAAGATGTTTATACTATAGTACATTTTACGTTGTGTTCCCATTTATTTATTAATCAAGACACGCAAATAGGACAGTCATTGACATTGTGTTATCTAACGCACGATCGTTTGAAATGAACATAAGGTTGAAATACTCTTTTATATATGTGGTTGTATTCAGCATATTTGGAATCTTACTTTTATTGATGCTGACACAGAGTGACGATGGAGATAAAGTGATCAAGTGTTACAGTTATAAATTGTCGGTACCCATATCTTCAATTGTGAAATTTAAAGAAACGCTAGAAATGAAGGAGAAAGACTCTTGGGTTGACGATTTTAAACGTGTAACTGACGATGATTCTATGCTGGTATACTCAGCTTATGCGGATGGGTAAGCTTTCATTCTTTGGACATGTATTGTGTTTACGTTGAAAGATCACATTTTCAAATAGATATGATTCATATGTGCATTTGCCTTTTTATACAAGTACACTTGTCAAAATTTAAGATGGTTATATAACCATAACAGGTTTCGAATCCTTGACTCAGGAGACACCATAAAAACCTAGACTATCTCTCACCAGCTTCTTAATTTTATAGTTAACAATTTAAACATCAGCAGTCTAGAGGTAAAGGTGTTTGCCTCTCAATGTATGACCGTTGGTTCGGAATTTACTGTTATTACAACTAACACTACTTAAAAGCCTGTCAAAGCACTCGTCAACCGTGTGTTTTAACAAATAAGTCTGTAATAATATGAGAGCTAGATTTGTCAACGGAGGAGTTATGTGAGAATGGTTTGAGCCACGTCACGATAAAACCAACATAGTGCGTTTGCGACGAGCATGGATCCAGACCAGCCTGCGCATCCGCGCAGTCTGATCAGGATCCTTGATGTTCGCTTTCAAACTCTATTACAAGTAGAGAAACTAATAGCGAACAGCATGGATCCTGATCAGACTGCGTGGATGCGCAGGCTGGTCTGGATCCATGCTGGTCGCAAACCCACTATGTTGGCTTTGTCGTGACGCGGCTCATTTACTGAATTGTGGCCATATATTTGTATTTATGTTCACACATTTTCATCTTTCTTTAACGTAAAATGTTTATCGTTTCAAAGGCTTGTTAATTCGGTTTTCTCTAAAACATGGAAAACGGTGAAAGATGTTGAAGTAACAGAGTTACATGATCAATGCTTTGTTTTAATAAGTTCAATAATGCTAACTGCGTCTCTTAAAAGTGTTGCATTCTTTCAACAGTTACCGCTCTATATCACAGTCTTAAAGACACATTATGCCTCATTAGTTTAATTCTTTTGAAATATCAAACATGTTTTAATAATGATTTGAGAGCATGTTAGATGTTTAATAACCGAACAAAGTTGCGCTGCTGAATGTGTAAAAATCTGTCGTAAAGGTAACAAAATGTAAACAAAGTAGTATTTTGACTTCCATACAAATAATAATTCACTATAATAATAGCCATTGCCAAAAGAGCAAACGGAGCAAAAGACTGCAAAAATGAGCATTATTTTGGAACTGTAACATATTAAAAATAAAATGATTTTCAGAAATAAAAATGATAGCACTTCTGAGGCATATTGGGCCTTTAATTACGTATAATATCTTTTCACTGATAAACAGAATATATTCCATCAGGTAGACAGCTATGTACAAAAATAAGTCTGTCGAATTGCTATACTTCAATTTAAATTTCTCTTTTTACACATGTACAATGTATTTTATTTATATCAATATGAATATAAAATGCTCGACCTTTGAAGACGAATATAAATATTATACCGGATTATTTGGTTGGTCAGTATAAACACGGCTTAGCGTAATCTTCTAAACTATATTATACTACTTTTACTAGTTATTTAAATAACTAGAGTGTTAAACCGCTTTACCGCAAAGAAAACAATCTGTTCGTCAGATGTTCACAGTGAGAAGTTAAGCGCGTGCTGTTATTCTAATTTAAACAGTTATCTTATTTCATTGAAAATATTATACGACATATTAAAAAGTATATAAATAACACATGGGTTTGTGGGTAACAGTAAAAATATCATCCCGAGGTAAATACTGTTACCCGAGGCGTAGCCTCGCGTAACAGTATTTTTACGAGGGATAATATTTTTACTGTTACACACAAACCCATGTGTTATTTATTTTATTACCCCGTACAAACACTGTGATGATCTGAATTTGTAAACTTAATCTAACTGTAACAAAAATAAACCAAGAGTAGCAATAATTTTACTGTCCTTACCTTGCAAGTTTTAAGTGTACTGTAGGCCTACTTGAGAATCTGTTTTTTGTTGTTGTTTTTTTAAGCAAGTGATGATATCTATACATGTAACCAGTCATAAACGAACAATAAACTGTGTTTTATTTAGAAAACAAATCACTAACCCATTTATAAGGTTATGATCTGTGAAATCTGATCCTTCTGTATCCAGAATATTATTTGCATGGTTTTTGACAAAGTGCATTTACAAAATAATGATGATATCATACAACTGTCTGTCCACCAACTCTCTCTGTAACGTTCCACTGGTTAAAATTGTTAAATAATCCTTTGTTGCATGCTTTAATCGTCTGCATGTTCCAGTTAGACAGATAATTATTCACATTACAATTACTTCCGTTATTTTTTTACTATTCAACAAAAAGATATTTTATACGCGAAAAGAACTCTAGGGTACAAAGAACTAAATTTTATGAGAGTCTTAGTTACTTTGGCGATGCCCCTATCGTCGAAAATAAGAATGAATCGAGAGAAAAATGGCGGCCATTTTATTTCATTTTATTTAGAAAATAGACCACGTGACCAGATTTTATACTGTTAAAAATACTGTTACCTATGTAACAGTACAAAATTCCTAGTCACGTGGTACACCTGCATTAACAGTAAGAAAAACTCCCAGAGGCCTATTGGAAATTAACATTACGAAAAAAGTGAGGGGTAATAATACAAAATATGAAGCATTTAAAAAAAAGAAATAATATTAGAGCAGGCTATTTATTCACTTGTACAGCATTTTTATATATAACGTCTGGGCGGCGACGGCGGATTCCCGTTTTGGCGGTTTTTACCACCCAGTTTGGTCATTTCATTAACAAATATGTACATACCATGTTTGTTATTTTGTTATATTTGCCAATTATGGCATTTTTTCAACTGTGTGTTGTGTTTTTTACCTTATGTCTAGCTAGTTATATTTTTAGTTGAATTAGACAATACATTAATAAAATACATAAAGAAAATGACAGAGAAGAAAATGAATTTTATTAACTTATACGTAAACAATATCTCATTAAATACAAACAATTCAAAAATGTATTGTCAAAGTTTCTTATAACAAAAACATAGTGTAAATGACAACATCATAAAAAGTGAGTTATAAACAGAAAAAGTTGAAAATAATAAATATTCTAAAGTTTTAAATAAATGTGTTTAGAACGAAGAATAGCTGTTTCTCAATAAAGTTACAGATGCCAATAACACGCATTTCTATTTTTTAGGCAAACAAAGGTTCGAGTTATTGGTATAACGAACGATACGAACGCTGATGTTAACTGTTTACTTTGGTACAATTCGTCAAAAGTGGAAACGAGGCTGGTTAAAGCATACATAGCTAATATCAATGAAAACCATGGGAAAAGGTATACAGATGTACATGCATTTCTTTTGATAAAATTTTACATTGAATGTATATTTAAGTGACTTTGTTTTTGTTTTTAACATTAAAGGGCTGATAAAAATGTTTCAAGATTTATATCTTTTTGATTTAGGTCCAGATAAATTACTTGTGTGCAAAGTTTCAGATCATTTGTCATCCGTTTTTAGCTCGACTTTTCTATGAAAAGGGGAGCTATCCTACTCGCCCCGGCGTCGGCGTCGGCGTCGGCGTTGGCGTCACACCTTGGTTAAGTTTTTCGTACCACCCCACTTTATTTCAGAAGTATTACAAGTATGGCTTTGAAACTTACCATACTTGTTCACCATCATAACCTCCATCTACAGACAAGAGTACATAACTCTGTCAAGGTTTTTGACAGAATTATGGCCCTTTTTTGACTTAGAAAGTGTATTGAGCTTGGTTAAGTTTTTTGTACCACCTCACTTTACTTCAAAACCATTGGAGGTATTGCTTTGAAACTGACCATACTTGTTTACCATCACGACCTTCATCAACAGACAAGAGGACATAACTCTGTCAAGGTTTTTGACAGAATTATGCCCCTTTTTGACTTAGAAAATACATTGAATATGGGTAAAATCCACTTATTGCCTTAACCCTTTGAGATATTGCTTTGAAACTTTTAATGCTATTTCACATCATTACCCCCATCTGTACGCAAGAGAAGGTAACTCTGTCAAGGATTTGTTTTTAAAAATTAAGGCCTTTTATCGACTTAGAATCTTGGTTAAGTTTTTAGTACCAGTCCACTTTTTGACTGAACTGTTTGAGATATTAATTTGAAAGTTGGAATACTTGTTTACAATCATGATTCCCAAACATGTCCAGGAGAAGGTAATTCTGTCAAAGATTTTATTTGAATTATGGCCCTTAACTTTACAACGCATTATCTACATAGTGGACCCACGAAAAGTAACCAGTCACCCACAGCCTGTGTGAAAGAGATCCACTTGTGACCAACTGACAACATCTAAAAAAGCTTGATAAAATTTATCTATTACTTGTATTATAAGGTAACTATAATACTTTCACATACAAAGTCAAATCTATATATTATGCTGATTGTACAAAAATATACTGCTTCCTTGGCATAGATTTCTTGAAAAATTATGTTATTATGTCATTTACCAAGGTGTTCTGAGTGACGTAAAAATACCTTATTCTCTCAAAGTGGGTTTAATACTATTAAATTTATTTAAGGCTCAACTCAGTTTTTTTTTCTTTCTTACCAGCCCTCTTTTGACTTAAACATTTCAAACTTTGCTGCAGTGTTCAAGGGTATCACACAATTCAGTAAAATAATTCTTCACTAAATATCTTAATGCTCATGGCCATTGTTCACTTTAAAAATACAGAGATTCTTGTATTGCCTTTTACTGCAAAAACTTTTTTTATTGGCAAGCAATAAAAAAGTCGAGCGCGCTGTCTTACGGACAGCTCTTGTTTCCAGAATATTCTAATTGTGAAAAACGACCGAGATTGGAAAGTGTTGCAAAGTTCTTCAGAGCAAAACATAAAAGTACTATTTTCAATTTGTTTCTGAGAATACTTCTTCATAAACATTTGCATAAGTACCCCAAGTTGATCTTATGTAAGAAATTCAAATTTTATGTTTTATGCTTTTGGACCTCAGTGGAATTCCTTTAATTTGCGGTTTAGAAACTAATGAAATTTTCCTGAACTTGCTCAGCAATTTATGACTTTCTGACTGTGATAAAGATGAATTGAAATGTGCTAGTCAGCACTTGTCATAAGATAGTTAGTTTAAAGTGTTAATGGTTCCCGTTTTTTCGCTTACAATGTTAAAAACATCAAATATACAATGTATATGTTAAGCTGTACCAAATCATTTAGACACTCCCGTAATTATTGTTTATGTGCATACCTAAATGAATGAAACTAGATTGTAATTACAAAAAAGGAAAGACACATTAACGAACAGGGGAATTCTTTTTTTTTTAATTATGTGTTTAAAGATATTACTGCGTATATGGTTTACTCGTTTTCAGGCAAGTTTGGTCTTTTCACTGCTTTATTAAGCATCGCGTCTTTTATTCAAAATGAATTAATCCTGCATTTTTTTCTTTTAAAAAAACATTAACATTCCGTGTGTGCCCAGTAAAAGTTGTGTAAAGAAAGTGACTTTAAAATGTGCATTTCTACATTGCGTGCAATAGTGATGTTAATTACTAGTAATTTTTCGCATATTAACAAAAGATGGCATCCGCAAAAAATAAACTTCACATTTACTGGTTCTTAAAAAAATCTTTAACTTGTTACGTTCGAAAGTATTGTATGTTTATTTTTTGGCGATGTTAGAATTCATTTCAAAGAAAGAGAATTTGTAAAACGTGTCGGTCTGCAAAAAGAAAGGCTTTTTTCTATTGTTCTGCTTATTGGTTACAGCTTATTTCAATTGATAACTTAGATGATGAAATAACTTAATAATTCATGATTTATCTAGCATATTCCCTTACTTTTTGTTTCAGACACACGGCAGCTTATTTTGTTTGTTACCTGTGCAGCGTACACGTCCCTGACGCTGTATCAATTGTGAGAAAGTCTACCATTCATTTTCCACGTAACATTCTACCCGTGCATGTAAATCCTCAATTAAAGACAAGGAGATATTTTACTATGTGCCTGTCGCCAATGCATTCATTGTTCAATGACAGCGTACAACTTATAGAATGGGTTGAAATGAACAAACTTTTAGGAGTGCAAAAGTTTTTTCTTTACGTCAAAAGTGTTTCAGATAACGTCCAGGAAGTATTGAAACATTACGCGGCTACGGAGTCGAACGCTCTCGTGACAGTATTACCCTGGTCATTGTCTGACGTCATGTGCGGTGACGTCATACTGCATTACTGCGGACAACTTGCAGCACTAAATGACTGTTTGTACAGAAATAAAGGTTACAGTTATTACACGACTGCTAGTGACTTAGACGAATTTATTATTCCATATGGAAAGGGGGATTACACATGGACTGATATGCTTTTACGTATTCCGGAATACAGTGTTTATCTATTCAGAAACTCGTTTGTAATGAGAAATCACGAGACTTCAAACGCTGAAAAAGGAAGTTTACCTTTAATGATAGATTACACAATGAGGGACGACTTTATATATGGGCCACGTGACCGTTCAAAGATGATTGTATGGACCGATGACGTTGTAACTTTTGGAATACATAATGTATGGGCGATGCGGTCGGGCGAAGAGCACGGAGTAGATCCGAACATAGGTTTAATGCATCATTACCGGAAAAGTCCGGTGATATATCCGGAAGGAGTAAATGTTACAAGAATAACAAGTAACACAACAATGAAATATTCCAAAGAGCTTAAAAAGAGAGTTTCTACAGTTCTTGAAAGTTTAAAAAAAATTTCAAAAGGAAATAGAATTGTATGATGTACCTTTGACAGGGCCGGACTCTTCGTTTTCTAGTCATTTGAAAGAAATGTGTTCAATGCAAAAATAATATTTATACATGTATGCTGCCCGCTTATTATTATAATTACATATACATAGTTGCTTATATTACTAACAGAAAAATATTTTTCATTAATATAATTATATTAAACATTTTCATATTCAAATAAATTTGTTACTTTTTAAGTTAAAACGCATTATATTCCACAGGTGTAGATCTAAATGTTTTGTTAGCTAATATACTATCTCCGTTAAAACACAATCCTTATGAAAAAATGCGAAATATTGTTTCTGCGAAAGTTTCTAGGAATACGGTACCTACATGTATATGATACAGTAAAATATTTAAAAAAAACAGGTAAGGCAACTAGTTATTTCAACATTAACCTTTACCCTTCTTACTTGGAAGAAAAACTTTGTAATCTTAATTTGAGCCGTGTCACGACAAAACCAACATAATGGGTTTGCGACCAGCATGGACCCAGACCAGCCTGTGCATCCGCGCAGTCTGATCAGGATCCATGCTGTGCGCTAACAGAAACTGATAGCGAACAGCATGGATCCTGATCAGACTGCGCGGATGCGCAGGCTGGTCTGGATCCATGCTGGTCGCAAACGCATTATGTTGGTTTTGTCGTGACGCGGCTCATTTTTTTTTTAATTTTAGTTCAATATCAGTCAAACATAATTAACATGTTAAGGATTGAGTCACGCGAAGTTTTAACTCTAACATGGTTGGTATGATTTTATTAAAGTCTTGAAGTTTTCCCATACTCTTTTATTCTGGAAACATACAGCCCCGCCTCCTCTCTTCTTTTGCGATTCCTGTAAAATGTTAATTATTCACCTCATAAACACACACGATATTTCGGTTTAACCTACGCTAATAAAAGTAAACAACCATATTCACAGACACTTGGGATGTGGAGCTTAAAACGCTTTAAAATCCAAATAAAATGTATATTTGTCAATCCAATACATGTACTGATCATATATATCAAAATAAAAACTTGATATAAACCGTTTTGAAAAAAAAATTCATATTTCAACGTCTATAAAAGTTATTATAGACGTTGAAATGTGAATTATTTTCATTAGGGCTTATATCTGGCCAATTCCGGCTGGCCCCTTTGGGGACCAGACTCAATTCCGCAGAACCGCATATGGTGGGATGGTTAGGGGGTCTGGCCGGGTGTCCGCGGGTATAGGTGTGTCTGTCGGGAATACTCTGGTATTTTGCCGACGTTGAGCCGAAAATCGTACTATACAGCTCAATTCTGGCCAATTCCGGCTGGCCCCTGTGGGGACCAGACTCAATTCTGCAGAACCGCATATGGTGGGATGGAAAGGGGGTCTGGCCGGGTGTCCGCGGGTATAGGTGTGTCCGTCGGGAATACTCTGGTATTTTGCCGACGTTGAGCCGAAAATCGTACTATACAGCTCATGTTAAGTTTTTTTTTTTATATATGATCAGTTCATGTGCTGGGATTGACAAATATACATCAAACGTGGCCCCAGCTTTGCCTTGTGCAAAATGCGCTCCGTTTTGAAGTATGGGAACCAACATATTACCGAATGGCTCCGCCCATAGCCGACTGGTTCCCATCTTCAAAGCGCAGCGCATGTTGCACACGGCAAAGCTGGGGAGCCACGTTTGTTTATCGAAAGATTTTGTAAATGAAATAAAACGGCGATAATCTTGATGTTTATTTCGGCTGTTGCGTTGTTTATATAACCGTTGAAGTTTGAAATTGACCATCATCGTGAAGAATTATATCTTCTGTGTTGATAGACCAAAGGATTATGTGAAAATATTGGAAATGGAATAAAATACATGGTGATGTTGACGGTAGGTGTGCGGATTTTTTCCGGCGAACATTTTTATCTTGTGTATTATTATAGACGTTGAAATATGGATTTTTTTTCAAAACGGCTTATATTAAGTTTTTTTTGATATATATATATGATCAGTACATGTGCTGGGTCGGAGGAAGGAAGTCTAGTACTGGTGTAACTCTCCAGGAACGTGGTAAGGAAACTACCCGCCAATATGACTGAAATACTGTTGGGGAAAAGGCGTAAAATGAAACAAACAAACATGTGCTGGGATTGACAAATATACATTTTATTTGGATTTTAAAGGCGTTTTAAGCTCCACACCCCAAGTGTCTGTGCGTTATTAGCTGGGGGAAAAACTTAATTCCGGAGTAAGACTATTGTATTGATTTCCTTAACAAAAAGGTTAACTCTAAGCTGGACAAGTCTATTTAAGAAATTTAGCGGGTTTAGAGTTAAAATCATTTACCATTCTATTGATGTCACCAATACATGTCCATATGTGTGTAGATGTCGCTTTTGTGACAGCCCATTTAGAATGGTCGGTTGTACTTTTATACAATATCTTGGGTTGTGGAAACGCCATATTTTCTATGTTTAAAACCTGAATAGTACAAAATATTTACATGTCGATTTTAGTCGAAGAAAGGTTTTATGTAACTCTCAGACAACATTGATATTTTTTTCCTTTAGATATTGCTTAGGGAATTAATATTCTAAATAATTATAAGGGTAGTTTTGTTTCACATCATTATTTGCAGCTCATTTTATATAGTTTTTATGCAGTAATATTCATTAAGCATATTTTATAGGGATAACGAAACACACCTCATAATTACCAGTGCAGTTCGAAACCATTTTACCACCTCCCCCGCTTTGCCAACTCTGTACCAACAAACTGCTTTCAAAACGTTGTGCCAATAAATCTTTGTACAAATCTAAAAATCAGATGGTATAAAATAAACTTAATTAATATTGCATGAATTACTATGTACTCTGGGTTTCTTTGATGCTTGACTACAGCAAAGTGTTGGCAACATTGATTTATTTTTATATTTTGTAAAGCAAAGAATAAATGATCAATTTATACAAAATGTAAAGCAAAGAATAAATGATCAATTTATACAAAATTGGTATAGAATAATTAATGAATCAAGCAGAGCTTTATTTTATAGAAAAATAGCTTGTTTTCAATTTCAGCCTTATTTAGAATTTTTCAATGTTAACAAATTTTGTCAATCAATGACCAGATTAAGAGTATCATCTCATAGATTAAATATAGAAGCAGGAAGGTGGACAATGCCAATCAGAACACCAATTAATGAAAGAAAATGTAGTGTTTGCAATTCCCTGGAAGATGAGTATCATTTTATCATGGAATGTTCCTTATTTATCAATCTGAGAAAACAATATATTAACAAACTGTTCTGGAAACGCCCAAATATGTTAAAGATTATTGAATTGTTGAAATCTGAAGACAATAAGTTGTACAAAATTAGGGTTATTTATTCACAAGGCTTTCATACTCAGAAATGAATATTTTTTCGGTAACTAATAGAGAAAATGAATATTATATACACATGGTAGTATATTATTTAATGTTTGTGAAAATTATTCATGTAAGATTATTTACCTTTGTCTAATAATCTTTGTTTTCGCATTTTTCTAAAGGTTAGAAGATGTTTATCGGTAAAATTATTTTTAACCAATATTATGGAAGGATATATATCATACAACGAACAGTGCATGCACTTAACAAAAGCAATGTGACACCCATTAATTCCAAAAAAGAATCTATATGGGAGGAGGTAACATATATAAACTTGTATTTAATTTAGATATATATAACTGAAATGTAATTATAAACATATAATGACTACACATATAAATAAAAATATACATCTCAACATATTACTTTGTTATATATATACATCATTATTTTCTATACCCTACCTTACACGAAATTGAAATGCAAGGTATTTATGTTTGTGCTATGTTTAACCTTATGGGATTTTTAGCCTAATGGATTGTTGAATAAAAAATGTTGAATCATGTAATAAATACGTACCATGTTAAGTAAAGACTTAAATCAGTCATTTTACTTGCTACAATTCATTTTGTTGATATGGATTAAAGTGAACCAATCACATATACATGTATATTTTAAAATATTTGAAAGAAGTCAAAAACTAAAATCAAATCAAGAAGAAAATAGCTGGCAAGAGAAAAACAAAGAAATTAGAGATATTATCATTGGTAACCCATTTGCACTCGTTACGTATACAATTCACCCTCGGTTACCCATACGTGCTCGTTACATAACACATATCCTCCGTAACCCATGTGTACCCGTAACATATACACTTCATCCTCGGTTACCCATGCGTATTCGATATACATGTATATACACTTCACCCTCGGTTACCCATACGTGCTCGTTACATAAACACTCATCATCCGTAACCCATGTGTATTCGTAACATATACACTGCATCCTCGGTTACCCATGCGTATTCGATATATATACACTTCATCCTCGGTTACCCATACGTATTCGATATATATACACTTCATCCTCAGTTACCCATGCGTATTCGATATATATACACTTCATCCTCGGTTACCCATGCGTATTCGATATATATACACTTCATCCTCGGTTACCCATACGTATTCGATATATATACACTTCATCCTCAGTTACCCATGCGTATTCGATATATATACACTTCATCCTCGGTTACCCATGCGTATTCGATATATATACACTTCATCCTCAGTTACCCATGCGTATTCGATATATATACACTTCATCCTCGGTTATCCAATGCGTATTCGATATATATACACTTCATCCTCAGTTACCCATGCGTATTCGATATATATACACTTCATCCTCGGTTACCCATACGTGTTCGTTACATTTACACTTCATCCTCAGTAACCCATAATACAAACTCGCTACGTTTACACTCAATTCTCGGTAAAAAAAAAAACGTACTCGGTACGTTGACACTTCATCCTCGGTAACCCATAGGTACTCGTTACGCTGACACTTCATCCTCGGAAACGCATGTGGTCTCATTACTTTTACACTTCATCATCTGTAACCCATGTGTACTCGTTATGTATATGATGAATGTAGTTCAGCGGAAACAACACCAAGGCATGGCTTCCGATGATAAGTATATATATATACAAATCCGCCACCGGTTCAAGGTCAAAAAGTAGTCGAAAAGAAACGGTTTACTTACCTTGATTAAAGTAATTTGATTTAGCAAAGGAATGAAATGCTACACCATTAAGCGATGATAGTTTAACCTCTTTACACTTCTCGCCTGTCACGTGTTTTCCTTTCATTGCACTGGCTATATTTGGGAACTTTGACGCAAAGAATTGTGGGAGATTTTGATCATAAATATGTGGGTAATTATATAACAACTGGACACCTGTAAATATATTCAACATGTTTTTTCTATTCTATCAGTGTCTAGAATTTAACCTTTTTAAGTAAATTATAATTGCACGTAACATTTCAAGCTCAGTAAAATAATTTTCACAAATAAATCAGAAAATGACTTGTTCCCAATCGTACACATACCTATTTGATCGAGATTCGTATCAGCCGCCATAGAAATACATAGGATAGTTTGTCCCCACGTGTGGTCTTGTAGACTGTAACCACGTGTTCTTTTAGGCGGGAAACGGGGTATGCTGTGAATCAACCAAAAGCCTTTCTCTCTGTCAAAGCCTATCACGCCTGTGCATGTAAATATATTGAGGAAGTACATGCATTTCAAAATCTACATTGTAAACAAAGTTGTCGGTTTGCCTTCTTAAAGGCACATTATACCTCAGGAACAATTACATGTTTGCTTCATGAATTTTATAATGTTTGAATAAAGGTTTTAGAGAATGTTAGATGCATATTATCTGAAGAAAGTTGCGATAAATGTGAAGTTATTTGTCATGAAAAAAGTAAAATGTAACAAACAAAACAAAAAATAAAATTAAAAAGCTTTTGAGAAAGACGATTTAACATCAGATTTCCTTTTCAAAATGACTGCAACTACATGACAAAATGACTTATTGCATTTTTAGATTTCGTTGAATAAGGTATTATGTTTCTTTAAATCATTTCAACATCACTTTCAGAAAAGATACAATTAACACCTGACATGTTCTTGTCAACCATTGGTATTTTCTTGACAATAGCTTCTTTGATTTTCTCCGATTAATTTGCAATGTTGTCAATTATAATTTCAGACAATTAAGATTTTTTATAAGAACAATAACATCAATGCCTTTTAAAGATCAGAATAAAGAAATTTAAGGTTTTTATCTGTATCCTTTAGAGAAGCCGATTTTAAGGCATACTTGAACATTTCCTTTCTTAGTTACTTTTGGTGTGTCCCTTGAGAATATAGTTTGACCTATGCCTCGATTTGTCCACGGCAGGGCACTGGTCGTTATACATCAAATACAGGGTATCTAGCAGATTAAAACCAGAACATTTCCTTTCTAAGTTACCTTTGGTGTGTCCCTTGAGAATATTGTTTGGCCTAAGCCTCGATTTGTCCGCGGTAGAGGGCTGGTCGTTGTACATCAAATACAGGATATCTGGCAGATTAAAACCAGAATTCTGTGGATGTAAATACAAATATAAAATGAAATTTTAATTTTAACAAAGTCGAACATAATAACAAAGTCGAACATAATATAACTATTATATTACTATGGATGATATTAAATCTTTAAAACTTTGAATTTTTGAAGACTAATTCCACTCAGTAAGCCACACCGCGTAATACTGTCCTTACACATACCTCGCGACCTTACTGCGTCCTTACTGCGACCTTGTTACGACCCAGGACGCAGCACAGTCGCCATGGACGCAGCAGGGACGCAGCGAGGTCGTAGCGAGGAACCCAAGGACGCACAAGGTCGCAGACCGTCGGCAACTATTTTGAACATGCACAAAACAGTCGCAGAAACTCTGCGTTCTTGCTGAGTCCTGGTTAGGTCGCCGTGGGATCGCAGTGGAGTCGCCATAGTCGCAGCAGCATCGTAGTAAGGACGCAATAAGAACGCAATAGACGTAGTACACTCGTACTGAGGACGCCGTAAGGTCAGACTGAGAATATAATTTACTGGTAAAAAGTTTTGTTTTTATAGACGTAGCAAGAACGTAGTAGGGTTGTCGTACAGTCGCAGGACAGTCGCCGGACAAACGCAATAGTCGTCGTAGAGTCGCCGTAAGGACTCAGAGAACATAGCACAGTCGAAGCTGGGTCGCCGATGATCGCCGTGGGGTCGCCTTGGGGACGCAATACAGTCGCAGTGGAAACGCCATGGACGTAGAAGGGTCGTATTGAGGACATAGAGAAAACGTACTGAACACAAGACTGCAGAGCCCCGGACCGTCTGCGAGAGAAATTTGAAAGAAAACCAACGATTTTCGAAAGAAAAATGCTATTTTACTAGTTTTCAGGTCGCAGTAAGGTCGTGGTTTATGTGTGAGGGCACCATTATAGAAATAATGTTGAAAAAATTGGCCGCCGCAGAGAACATTGTTAAATAGTGGTGTCGAATTCGGACAGCTATGTCTGCTGCATCTAAATAAACAAGCAAACAAATCTCCCAAATAATTCTAAATACCTCAATATCGGTAAACATGATCTAAAATCACCTAAGTCGCTCTAGCCCTTTTACAATAGTTTCGTAAATTTAGTACACTGTTGTCATATAACAAGAGGGTATTTTCCCCTGTGACGTCATCATTATATGAAAATATACCAATATATGGCGTCTTAAGTCGGGTTGTTACCTCCGAAGAAGTCTTATATATCTGGTCCAGCGTGTTGGAAATAGCTTGATCATTTTCTTTCATTGTTTTATTCGAGAATATCCACTCAGTCGACTTAGCATCCATGTAGAAAAACGAATCATGATGGACATTTTTCTGTGAATATGGTAGCTTATATGCGATGTACCTGAAATGATAGCGTGATTGGGTTTTACGTCACACCGACACAGTTCAGGTCATATAGCGACGTTCCAGCTTTACTAATGGAGGAAGACCTCATGTGCCCTTCCGTGCATTATTTCAGACACGAATGGGCACCCGAGTATAATGGTGTTTGGAGTCAAAACAAAATCGGAGAAAAAAACAGCCAGAGGTTAGAAAAATCGTTTTCTCAGCTCATACATGTATGACATTAATTTAACCTTTGTTTGATTTTTTATTTCCCTTAATACATGCCAGATATGATATACCTACAAATATAAAAAAAACAACAAGATTTGACATTATTTTTGTAAAAGTAAAATCATTTTACAGCATTACATAACCTTCATGACAGCATATGAGAAAAGACGTTTGTGTTAATTGTGTAATCACGAGACCAATGACACGTGTTAATATACCCGTACAACTTTTGCGACTTCATAAAAAAACCCGGTAATGTAGGGCTCGTATTCAACTCGTTCAATAAACCAAAAATTGAACCTTGTCATTAAAAATCCTTTATTTAATAATGATATCAAAATTTTGAACATAACTGCATTAACATGAAGGTACATAAATTATAAAAAAAATACTTACTATAAATATGATGATGATTATATTCAAATTGATGATGATGAAGGCATTTAATCATTTTCACTCTTCATTTTATATGTTAAACTCAATACAGTTCATCATTATACCCAGAACATTCTTATAAGCACATATTTCATATACAAAGTACACTAGGCGCGTGAATTATTTGTCGCTGTTGAAGTCAATTTTTATTTTTGGATGAGACTTATAAAGAAACTAGATTTCTTATACTTGGGATAAAAAAAATTTCCCGAGCGCAATGGTGATAATTTTATATATACAAAAAGTACATCAAATACAAAGTACACTTGAGATGTGTATGATATATACATATATATTTTTACTATTTTTATCACAAATCATTTCATTTGTTGCATAATCGCCTAGATTTTATTGGAATTAATGTTGCAGGTGTAACGTTTAAACTATTTTTTGCAGCCGGTTTAAGGTGTAGCCGGAAGTTCTTCGGTTCGCACGAACAAAAGTATATGAGCCGCGTCATGACAAAACCAACATAGTGGGTTTGCGACCAGCATGGATCAGACCAGCCTGCGCATCCGCGCAGTCTGATCAGGATCCATGCTGTTCGCTATCAGTTTCTCCACTTGTAATAGAGTTGGTAAGCGAACAGCATGGATCCTGATCAGACTGCGCGGATGCGCAGGCTGGTCTGATCCATGCTGGTCGAAAAAAAAACAAACTCACTATGTTGGTTTTGTCGTGACGCGGCTCATATATATAGTTCTAAAATCAGTCTCGTTTTGTTCGTATTGAACAAAACAGATACACCGGAACTTGGCAAATCTAATCCCGGGGTTTTGGCAAACTTTTCAGTTACAACTTGGTAAATATATAAGTTAACGTTAAAAGGCGCAATCCACTGATTATTCTATTGTGAACCCCATGTTTTATCTATTTTTATCTTAAAAGGTCTCCGCTGAGAGACTTTATTATTTTTCTTTTCCGTATCAATATATGACTCCTATATTTGAATTAAAATCTAACTTAACATAATTATACTTAAATACTGTAAGATCAATCGTCCCTGTCAATGTAGTGTTTCAGCATTTCAATGGGACAATCAAATCTGATACTAGGATCTCTGTTTTTGGCAAGAATGGTAGGTAAAACAAAAACATACATATATATTGTATTGCCATATAACGTGTATTTTGTTTTGGAATTTATGAAAAAAAATCTGGATCTACTCTAGGTGACTGTACCTGAATTTAACAACTAATTTAATACTTTGTTACTTTGTCCTGATATAGTTTTACTTTAATTGAAATAAGAAGCCCGGTTTTCACATGAAGATCACATGTCTTCTCGACTTAAGAGGGAAGTACTTGAAATAAAGTAAAACCTGTATCAAACATGCAATCCTATCTCTCCCCCCTTTGACTTTTGAACCCGGACAAAAATGAAAACGACGCCTTCACTATCTTATAAAAATTATCGACCTATGCGTACAAAATTTGAATATTACTGAAATAAACGTCTCAAAATCACTAATTTTATCTAGAACAGTTAAAATTAACCAAGTTTACATATTTCACAAAGTAGACAAAGTATAAGTGTATGCAAAGGTTCAAATTACTTAAGATATCGTAGTGTATGCAAACAGTGTACTTCTAGTACCAGTATTACATGTAACTTAACGAAAAAATGACAAAAGATGAAAACTGTGTATGAAAAATGAAATACAAATAGCAGTCTTACCAATCCACAGGTTGGTTATTTTGTGATAAACATTGTAGACAATTTACATTACACCTGATAATAATAACACCAAGAATAAAATAAACTGTTAGCATCCCTGTGGTAATAACCTTCCTTGCATCCGCCATTATTAATCAACGAGGAAGAAAAATTATAGCATGATCGTGATCACGTGGGTATTAACGGGTTAAGATCAGGTGTCTCCTGGAAGTTTATTACCTACAGAATAATCAAGTTCTAAAATTTATTCTTCCTTTATTTATTCTTTATCGTAATGAATATTGGAAATTTACGAATAATTTTATTTTATAAATCAAAACCGAAAGCATATTACATTTTTGTTTGATTTAGTATCACTGTCTTGTTCCGTTAGGTTTTTAGTAGAATGACCGCTCCTAACGTGAAATATTCGGAAAGAAGAGGACACTTTAATTAGAGGTGTACTTAAACGCATGACGTGAAAGCACATAAATAATGTCTCTACATGGTACTGAAATGCGAAATAAGCAGCCTAAGTTAGTGACATATATTAGAAATGAAAAAGTGGTCTAAAATTATTTTGAAAAATGTGAAGTTAGCAGCCTGGCAGCCTTATGTAAGTGATTATTGCAGAAACCGTCTAAAATATATTGTAATCACTTTAAGGGCATGTCGAACTGATATTACTAGTATATAAACCATCTGAAATGTGAAGTATGCAGCCTAAAAAACCTAGCATCTATGCCGGTTGACATCCTAAGTGACGTATCTAACGGAAATAAGGATACATTTCAGCAGACTAGACGTAAAGTTTTTCTTTATATCATTGTAAAGTTCCTCAAATATAATGGACAATCCGACTTTTCAGACTCAGTCAGTATACGGACCCAGCAAGCCACATGCCATGCTATAGTACGAGAAATTTAGATGCATAATTGTTGACAACTATCCATTTCTTGTAAAATAACAGACAACTCCGTAAACTCTGGGAAGTTTTAAACTAAAAAGATAAATGAGCCGCGCCATGACAAAACCAACATAATGGGTTTGCGACCATCATGGATCCAGACCATCCTGCGCATCCGCGCAGTCTGATCAGAATCAATGCTGTTCGCTATCAGTTTCTCTACTTGATATAGGGTTTGTAAGCGAACAGCATGGATCCTGATCAGACTGCGCGGATGCTGGTTGCAAACCATTTATGTTGGTTTTGTCATGGCGCGGCTCAAATGTAGGAAACTGTTCAAGTAAATTGTACAATGTATTTTAAAAAAAGAATTAGAGAAAAGACTATTCGTCCTCTTTAATTCAAAGATTCCAGTAAATGATGGGGTAGTTACTAATATAACATTACGGATAAAGGAAGCCCTGTAGGTAAGGGTCTGTCTCTCAGCTCTGGGGTCATTGTGTTCGAGTCCTACTCCAATCACGACCATATTACTCCCCCCTCACACACCAGTACTGGTTATTTCCAGAAGGAAGTTCATTCCATAAAGTGACATTATGCCCATCTAACGGTATATTAATGAGTAAACAGGTGAAAGTCAAAATAAGTTTACATTTTGCCATAATTCCTTTCAATATCATAATTCACTTTGCATGAACTATTGATAACCTACATGACCCAAAGATTTTTATAAATAACCAGTAACGTTCAATTTATAACAAGAGCACCGCTAGGCGGAGCATTATATGCCCGAAAGTGTTTTTCTTTTTAGCAAGGATGAAGACATTACACAAATTAAATAAAGTATTACTTCCTTCAAATAGCAACTTTCCTATAAAGTTTGAATATTGTGGGCCAAATGGAACTTAAGTTATGCTCTGGAAACTGTTTTCAGTTTTGAGGTAATAGCAACCTTGAACCTTGACCTTGTGAACCCAAAATCAATAGGGGTCTTCTACCCAATATGGACAATCATCCTATGAAGTTTGAACACTATGGGCCAAATAGAAATTAAATTATGTTCTGGAAACTGTTTTCAGTTTTAAAGTAATAGTGACCTTGACATTTGACCCCAAAATCAATAGGGATCTTCTACCCAATATGGACAATCATCCTATGAAGTTTGAATATTGTAGGCCAAATAGACCTTAAGTTATGCTCCGGAAACTGTTTTCAGTTTTAAAGTAATAGTGACCTTGACCTTTGACCTTGTGACCTCAAATTCAATAGGGGTCTTCTACCCAATATGGACTATCATCTTATGATGTTTGAATATTGTGGGCCACATGGAACTTAAGTTATGCTCCAAAACTGTTTTCAGTTTTAAAGTAATAGTGACCTTGACCTATGACCTCAAAACCATTAGGGGTCTTCTACCCAATATGGACAATCATCCTATGAAGTTTGAATATTGTGGGACAAATAGACCTTAAGTTATGCTCTAGAAACTGTTTTCAGTTTTAAAGTAATAGTGACCTTGACCTTTCACCTTGAGACCCCAAAATCATTAGGGTTTCTTCTACCCAATATGGACAATCATCCTATCATCCTATGAAGTTTGAATATTGTGGGACAAATAGACCTTAAGTTATGCTCTGGAAACTGTTTTCAGTTTTAAAGTAATAGTGACATTGACCTTTGACCCCAAAATCAATAGGGGTCTTCTACCCAATATGGACAATCATCCTATGAAGTTTGAACACTATGGGCCAAATAGAAATTAAGTTACTCTCCGGAAACTGTTTTCAGTTTTAAAGTAACAGTGACCTTTGACCTTGTAAACCCAAAATTAATAGGGCTCTTCTACCCAATATGGACAATCATCCTATGAAGTTTGAACACTGTGGGCCAAATTGAATTTAAGTTATGCTCCGGAAACTGTTTTCTTTTTTAAAGTAATAGTGACCTTGACCTGCGACCTTGTGACCCCAAAATCAATAGGGGTCTTCTACCTAATATGGACAATCATCCTATGAAGTTTGTACACTGTAGGCCAAACGGAACTTAAGTTATGCTCCGGAAACTGTTTTCAGTTTTAAGGTGATGGTGACCTTGACCTTTGACCTTGTGACCTCAAAATCAATAGGGGTCTTCTACCCAATATGGAGAATCATCCTATGAAGTTTGAATATTGTGGGCTAATGGAACTTAAGTTATGCTCCGGAAACCAAATTGCTAACGGACGGACGGACAGACGGACGGACAGACGGACGGACGTCCGGCCGAAATGGAATAAGGGACCGTTTCTTTTGTTATTTACTATTGTTTAATAGAGGGCCAATGACCCCTTACTCTATTGTTACGGAATGAACTCTATTGTTCCCTTTTGTTCTGTTTACAGTTAGATGGCCCCTTATCCCTATTCGGTAGTGCGGACGGACAGACGGACGGACGGACGCCAGGGGGTATATCAAATATGCCCGAAATTCTTTCGGGCATATAAAAAGGGTAGTGCAGTCTTTAGGCAGACTTATATTTTATCTAAAACATTTTCCAATATGCTGGTCAAACACCATAATAACAGACAATCTTTGAAATATATAGTCAATTCAGCTCAGCTTGAGAATGAAATAAATGACAATAATGTCACTTAAACAGCCGAGCTTAAATTAATATTGTTTAAACATCTATAGTAAATCTAATGATAACGTGGTTTGACATAAAGATTTAAACAGAATTGATGAATAAAACACAAATGCAGACTCTCCCATTACCTTGTAGCACAAAGAAAATAATTAAATTGCTGGTAAAAAATAATGTCTACGATATAACCTGGTTTCCCAGATGGAAAAAGGATCAGCCAAACCAAAACACAGACACTTGGGGTGTGGAACTCAAAATGCCTTTAAAATTCAAATAAAATATATATTTGTCAATCCAAGCACATGAACTTAACATATTTATCATTAAAACTTAATATAAGCTTTTTTGGAAAAAAAATCATATTTCAACGTCTATAGTTATAGACATTGAAATATGAAATCTTTTAAATGGAATTTAAATGTGTTTTGAGCTCCACACCTCAAGTGTCAAGTGTCTATGAACCAAAATAGACGCTACAACAACCATCTTTAACTAGTGTGGGCGTCCTCATAACTTCCACGTGTAACCTAGCTAAAACATATACAATGTACCTTTTTGCGCCCTAACACTCCACCCTAGCCTGAGATTCAGGCGTTGATAGTTTTTACTTATTGATAACATTTTTGCTTATTCATAACATATGCGCTATTCCGTATTCTTCGTGGTTTTGATAGTCGATTTGCAAAACAGAAGCACTTAAAAAATCGGCAGACTGGAACCCAGGCTTACCCCACCCCGTCGTATCCTTGTATGGTAGAATTAAACAACAACAACAGTAAATATAATTTGTGTAAATAAGTATTTCTAGCAAAAGCAATTTTAATTATTACAGAAAATTTATGTATATATATAAGAGGATATTAAGGCATTAAGCACAAAAAGTCAATGTAGAGCTTATTATATGTTTTACTCGATTTTTCTCTCATTTCATAAGGGAAATTACTCTGTTGAAATAAAAATAGTATCAAAAATGGGTCTTCTCCCTTAGTTTGAAAAACGTTGAAACCTTACTCTTTTTGACACCTGTAATCTACCAATATTCACAATCATGCTTATTACTAAACGTTTTTCTTAATGTACCTTTATAATCACTTTTATACACAAAGTGAGTAAATAAACGAGTATTAAAAACTATCATATTATTGGTATTATAGTGTAATATTAATGTACTGTAAAAAACAGGGAAAAAAATTGAAAAACAGACTTATGTATCTATAATGAGTCATCGCATATTCTGTATCCTATTTAATAACAATACATTGGCTCAATTTCTTAAATGAGCCAACTCACGACAAAACCAACATAATGGGTTTGCGACCAGCATGGATCTGCGCAGTCTGATCAGGATCCATGCTGTTGGCTTACAAACCCTATTACAAGTAGAGAAACTGATAGCGAACAGCATGGATCCTGATCAGACTGCGCGAATGCGCAGGCTGGTCTGGATCCATGCTGGTCGCAAATGCATTATGTTGGTTTTGTGGTGACGTGGCTCAAATGGACTTGTCCAGCTTCAATATCTGGAAATGTCGATTTTTATTGTTGGGCATATCAAGATGAAATTTTAAAGCAAGTTTGCCAACAGTAAAGAGTCTGGTCATACCCCACTAATGCAATGCTGGCTGGCCTGACTCTACAAAGGCTTATCACTTTCTGTTTCAACAGCATGACGGTTAGCTAAGTAATATTTTAACTGCTTATATATCAACATGTACAGTGTTACCAGATTCCTTTACTGTTGACCAACTAAAACTAATATATTGAAATGAAAAAGAATATTTAAAAGAAATGGTACTTTAAAAAACAAATAATTATCAAAGTTAACTTAAATGCCATGACAGTTTATGAGTACATATAAAGAAAAACAAGGAGTATATATGCAAAACATTGTATACTTACTAGTAGCACCATATACATGTATTGTAAGTAATTGTGATTTCAATGATTGATCAAATCTTGTACAAAAAGAATAAAAAATGGCACCTATCAAAAAAGGTGGTAAAAGCTTTTATGGCACATGATTAAGATGATTTTAATCAGCTACAAAATTATACTATACAAAAACAATTGTGATATTTTACATCATCAGGTCTGTGACGCCAACACCCTCTTTTTTTTAACACTGGCCTGAACAGTTTTGGCAATGTCAATTTGAGTAAGCTTCCAATTTTATCCAATACCCTTTAACTGAAACCATTAAGTGCTTGATTTTAGTATATTAATAACAAATAATAAACAATTCTAAAAAAATTTCATCAAGGCAAAATTGTTGAACAAAACATACCTGAGTAAATATGTAAAAAAAAACTTAACAATGATAATGGCACTTAAAACAGATCTTTTTTGTTAACAATTAACATATCAAATAAATACACCTGGAGTAAAGGTAAATTTCTTAACATACTTGCTACATTTGTTCAGATACATGTTAAGGCTATAGATAGGTAAGATGCATTAAAGCAAAAGGAATAATATTTCAAAAACAGCTCATTCACACTTGATGTATTAGCGTATAATTAGACAATGAATGTATAACATTATGCATAATTATTTAATAACAAATGTAAAAGCATACTAAATATACCTGTAACAAAATATTCAATCACACATATAAATCTACAGAATCAGTAATTAAACATACATTCTGCAAAAATATATAAAAAAATCATGTCTATGCAAAAAATGATTGTTAGAACAGAATAGTTGTCAGAAACCTGCATTGTTTGTTTCAAAGTTGAAATAAATTAAAACCCACAAAAATGTTCCATAGTACTAATTTTTTACTCATTGTACAAATATATCACTCACTGTATATCACTCATTGCACATGTATATCATTCACTGTATATCACTCATTGCACATGTATATCACTCAATGTATAACACTCATTGCACATGTATATCTTTCACTCATTGCACAAGTATATCATTCACTGTATATCACTCATTGCACATGTATATCACTCACTGTATATCACTCATTACACATGTATATCATTCACTGTATATCACTCATTGTACAAGTATATCATTCACTGTATATCACTCACTGCATATCATTCATTGTACATGTATATCACTCACTGCATATCATTCATTGTATAAAACACACTGTATATCATTCATTGTATATCACTCACTGCATATCACTCATTGTACATGTATATCACTCACTGTATATCATTCATTGTATATCACTCACTGCATATCACACATTGTACATGTATATCACTCACTGTATATCACTCATTGCACATGTATATCACTCAATGTATAACACTCATTGCACATGTATATCTTTCACTCATTGCACAAGTATATCATTCACTGTATATCACTCATTGCACATGTATATCACTCACTGTATATCACTCATTGCACATGTATATCATTCACTGTATATCACTCATTGTACAAGTATATCATTCACTGTATATCACTCACTGCATATCATTCATTGTACATGTATATCACTCACTGCATATCATTCATTGTATAAAACACACTGTATATCATTCATTGTATATGTATATCAATCACTGTATATCATTCATTGTATATCACTCACTGCATATCACTCATTGTACATGTATATCACTCACTGTATATCATTCATTGTATATCACTCACTGCATATCACTCATTGTACTGTATATCACTCACTGTATATCATTCATTGTATATCACTCACTGCCATATATTGAGGGTTATTTTTGTTGTTTGTTTTGTTTCATTTTTTCAAAAAGAAGTATGTTTATATATTTCTTCAAATGCAATAAAAATTAAGAATTGCAGTGTATGACAGAATACACAACTTTGATATTTTTTATCTTAATTGATAAAAAAAAATTGTAAAATAAACTCTGTCCATTGTAAATTATCATAAACAAGTGCACTGTACATGATAAATGCATGTAACATCACTCAGTACACAAAAAGCATTGTAGAAAACAATACAGAAATTTAAGTAGAATTTTTCAAATTCATATAAAAGGTTTTTTGTACCCTATTACCAACTACACTAATAAATATAAAAGAAAATCATTAACAAATATGGCTACACTGCCTGAGTGGGGCAGTAATAGGTTGAACACCACTATACAAAATGTATCGTTACATATGGTCTTTTTTTAAAAATACATGTATAATCCAATCATAGCCTACCATCTAATTTCTATTATCATTTTGCAAATACATTTGTGGGTATAAACTTTTTTTAAAAATTCTAATATTCAACAAAACATTTTGGAAATGGTCCAATTATCACAGAGCTATATTTAAATGGAGAGGAAGCTGTGACATCATACACACAAGTGGTGTTAAACTTAAAATATAATATAATACTTGGACAAAAATTAAGTAAGCAGCACCTTAATGTTAATCTTGTAATATCCAAAATATTCATTTTAATAAGTTATAAAAGTATTATTATTATATTAATTAGTTTGTAAATGCAAATGTTCATAGCAGATTTATCAGTGGCTTGACATAATATTTCAAATGCTTCAAAAGTTTTTTTAGTAAATAATCAGATCTATGAAAATGTAAAGCACATATAGTCATATACAATGAATTATAATAAAAGCATTTATAACATAACCCATGTTGCAGGAGTGTAATAAAGCAATGTCAGAAAAACAATATTACACTTGTGCAGTGACAATTGCAGGTGATGTCATTTGCATTATACAAAATGTAAAAGCATTCTAATGTAAGAATTACACTATATGCGCAAAAACAAAACAATAACTCTTTTTTTGATGTTAAAGATTTTTTTTTAGCTATGAGATAAAAAGAATATTGTGTTCATGTAGATTCATTACTAAATTTACTGAACTTGTTGAATGAAACAAAATCATGCTCTCCAGGGGCTCTTATAATATGATTTCAATCAACTTGTCCAATAAATTATTATACAAATGATGAGTATATAACAAAAAAATAAATGGGTTGGGTAACAAGTTCTAATGTTGCTAGAACTTGTTGCCCAACCCATTTGCTTTTTTTTTATATAGTCATCATTTGTATGATATTTGACATGTATTTGATGCAATAAAATATGTTTAAACTAATAAATTTAGTATTAAACCAACACGCATTCAATATCCTCTATATATTTTATATATTTGGCACTGTAGCACTAGTTAAGGTGGGATACATTCCCTGTAGGGACCGCAGTTATGGTAGGAGTTAATGAGACCGTGGAAACTCTTCCATACTGACTTATTCTGGAAACACACAGTTCCACCGGGTCTCATCATTTGAGATACCTGTAATGACAAAACATATTGTGAAGACTGTCTATTTTTATTTCAAGAGCTCTGAAAGTAAGAAACAATCACATAAATCTCAAAGTTTAATAATGTCAAATGTTGACTTGTGTGTAAAACATGTACATATTTGCCAATTTCATTTCATATTAACTGATTATATGTGTTTCCTTCTATGCAACTTACAACTTTTTTGCCATTTTCATTTGCATGCAATTAAATGTACATATATTTTCACGACTGATTATTTGTATCAATGTGAATAGAAAAGATTATTTTGTGTCCTATTTTATTAGCTGCATTGACACTTACATAGTTAGTAAACATTAAATTTTCTTAAAATAGTAGTGACATAGAACGTTTAAACAGAATATCTAAATGTGAATTTCTTCTTACACAGACTCCACTATTAGTAGCTTCAATTGCTAAATGTCTAGTGCATGATTTTTTAATAATATGGCAAAAAAGCAACAAATAATATTAACTCAGTTTCAAACAATTAAAAAAAAAATATCTGTAAAAAAAGTGATCCCTTGAAAGCATTAAAATCGCAAAATTACATGAAAATTGCAGTCTGTACATGAGGGGTACTGAAAATATGCCGACATCCCTCACATCACCAAGCGAGTGGTGCTCAATTTTCAACACTTAATTAAAAGTACTGGAATCAACGATCCCAAAGGACCAGACAATTACGACAACACTGAAGTAAATAAACACATCAAAAAAAGAAGTGTTCACTGACAGTATGCATCACGTTTCGCAGTACTGTATAGTATGATTAAAGTTATGTCGAAAAGTGTATATAATTCTATAAACATCTTACAACCTGCTGTTGATAGTAAACAAGTACTTAAAGTTTTTGAAGTGAGTACATGATTGTGACAGTTTTTGAGAAAATCATAAAAATATTCTCGGTCAAATAAGAGAGATATTTAAGCCAAATTGACATTCAGGGTAATTTGACTATAAGAAATACTTTTCAATTTTGTTGGTGAACAAGTACTCCAAGTGCTTTGGAGAAATTAACCATAGGCAAAGGCTTACCAAGAAATTCCCAGTCTTATTTTCTCTTGTGTAAATCAAACAACCTGTCATTAATTTCTACCCTTGTAATATTTGCAAATATTTCCTCATGTGAAATGTCTTGAATTTTAAATTCCCTAACTTTTCGCGGTACAGTAATATAGATCTACTTAAACAGTAATTGAGAGATTATCAGAGAACTTACCTGAATTTTCATTGCTGAAAGTTGGTGTACATGAATGGTATTTGGTTTCATTACGACTGCAGATTTAGGGGTTAGAAGATCAGGACAAAGAATAAGTAGCAAATATAGAGATTTTACAATGTACCTGTCTGTTAATATCTCCTATACAAGTCCATATACTGTCTGTGGAGTTGGTAACAGCCCATTTTGAATGATCTTGGGTTTCTTTAAATTGAACATCTTGCTTTTGAAACAGCAATGTTTCTACATTGAAAACCTGGAATCAAAAATATCCTGGCTTTAAAGGGTAGATGACCTAGACTAGAATATTAATTAAAATTGAAGAGATTTTGAAACTGTTGATCTTTTGTAAATATGAATGTTAAAAATTGTACAATATGGCTGGCTCAGAGATTACTTAAGGCGCCTAACTCAATGAATGAACTTTAATAAATGAGAGAGTATGACAGCTCTCCATATACTTCTCACTGTCAACCTAAAAACTGTTACAGATCCTCTTCAAATTTAAACACGTTACTATATATATCACATGCCTTTTAACACTGTAGGTTCAAATCCCAGTGGGGACATTCACATTTCAACAATGCTGATATTCTTACATTAAGCAGACACCAGTTAAAAGTTAGGCTAGCCTCACTTAAGGTGCTGACAGGCCTAGCTCTATACTGTTGTAAAAAACCTATTGTTATCATATCTAGCCATTAATTTGAATTAAATTTTATATTTAAAGGAACTTACACCTATGAATTCTAAAAAATAAAAACTTTAAACATAAACCACCAAAGACACTTAAAACGAAAAGATATGCAACAGATAATACTGAAACATTTGCAAGATAAAATTATAAATCAAATTTTTGTGCAATTTCAAGCATGATTTGAGAAGCGTTCAAAGCTTTTTACTTTTGGGTCATTTTTCACAGTTGACATATTTGTTTCTCTGACAAAAGAATCTTTGCACACAAATTATTAGTTCAGACCTTTATCAAATTGTATATAAATCTCAAAAAAAAGAATTATTTCATTTCCAGTCTCAGTCTGTCTAAAAACCTCAGTTGAGTCCCTTTCACATGTACCTTATATTTTCCAGTACAGTTTGAGCACATCTTCTTCACTCCATTCTGCCAGGTTTCTACAAGTAACGAGCTGCTAAACCTTGTAGCAAGAAGATCACTGTACAAATCTGAAAATATAAAATAAACAATGCCAATAGGCTGCTTATCTCAGGAACAATTTTTAATTTTCTAATTTAAGACGTTTTGGCATTGATTAAAAAACAAGAGCCATCAGTAAGACAGCACATTCATGACTATCCTCAGCGCTAGACAGTAAGAAAAGGGACATAACTCTGTAAAATGGTAACTCAGAGTAATGGGACCTGTGCCCATCATATAATATATTCACAGAGAACAAGTGTATACTGTTTCAACTTACTCCCTTCAGTAGTTTTGAAGATACTAACTTGCAAGCAAAACTAAACCAAAGAGTGACAACGATGCATACACTGACATGAATACAACAGCTCTCCCTACTCTTCAAATAGTTGAATTACAGATGAAAACTATAATCTTTTCTTTAAGTTACTAGTAACTCTTAATTTTGCTCCCTAAAACGAAACAATTCCTTTGTAAAAATAGTATACAGTAAACTTCACTTATAGCAAACACGGTTATAGCGAACTTCCAGTTATATTAGGAACAATTTATTTTGGCCAAAATTTTGCACTTCTTTATTTAATATATAAATATACGGTTACAGCCAACATGGTTATAAGGAATAATCGCTTATAAGGATCTCATTTCTTAGTCCAAATTTACTTAAAGTACAGAAAATTACACTTTTATAACAAATTCCAAAATATCAGCTATCCGTAAATTATAAGATCCCGCATTTTCAACTTTTGTTTTCATTGGCATGGATTAAAACTCTGCCAATTGTACTGTTTATTGTTGTATATACTTCAAAACACCTGTGAAAATGAATTTGTATAGCAGTACATAATAGTTTTCTATTTAGGATATTTTAGCATGAGTTCTTGTCACCAAGATAAAACGGTTATTCCTTTTATTCTATTATTTCTTTTCTTTAATAGTTTTGCTCGAGTAAAATAATTATGATCATTTATAATCGGTTTTCAACATAATCACGCATGCTTGCTTGCTAATCCATTGAAAACTACAAAGTACGCTTGATTGAAATGAAAAGAAATCTATATCTTTCATAAGTAAAAGTCACCCTTAAAATATAATAGAAGATATTCAATATAAAAGGAAGGAAAAATCGAAAATCTTGTTTATTCTTAATCATGGAAAGAAAACGAAAAGCACTGAGTTTAGAAACAAAATATGATATTTTATGAGAAATTGAGAAAAGGCAGTAAAACTAAAACTGAAATAGCAAGGGTTTTTCAAATTCTAAAAAGTACGCTCTCGGGTATTGTGTCTAAAAAAGATTTATGACTAATTTTTCTTAAACAAATACTCTTCAAAATGGCGGACGGTTGTTATATGTTCGCTATAAAAACTCCTGATAAAAGGAACTAATTAGCTATATGCTTACAAGGAACTCCGGTTATAAAGAAACAGATTATGAATGTCCCAATGAGTTCATTATAAGCGGAGGTTACGGTACTTAAACTGCGAAATAGTATATTACATCCAGCAATCAGGGGTAAATATGACTCTGGCATAAAACTTCAACTTAAATGTTTATTGCATGTAAGCATAATACATTATGGTTGTTCTACATTTAATTGTTTGGGAGTAAATATTACTTAAATATTTCAACATTGTTTTCCACTAACGATTTAATCAAGCAGACTTAAACAAATTTTCAGCAAGTAAATCTCACAGCATTGGAGATATTGGCGACAATAAGGTCAGACTGACATGTAATCAACGTGGGCAGTCACACTTTTATCTGGATTTATTAATCAGCAGTCATTAAGAGTAATTTTTTTAAAATATACATCAGATAAATATAATGCTCTTTTATTAAATTTTATTCCGCAACTTTCAAATTTTTTTCGCCATTTGAGGAATTGGCAAATTGCAGCGGAAACCCTAAGTCATAGTTATAGAAAACAACTCATCACCTTACAAACACAAGGAGCTTGTCCGTTCAAATAAATTTGATGCCTATAATGTTCTTGACTGCAAGAAAATGTCTTTAGAGGGACAAAATCTCCTCAAGTAAAACTTAGGGTCAAAGGTCAACCACTAGACAAACTGGATAAAATGAATGTACTCTATAAGTTAAAAAATATCATCCGTATAAAATTACCAAATTCTTACCATTATCAAATTTGGAGTATTTAGCAAACGAATTAAATGTTACACCATCAAGTGATGTTAGTTCAGTCTCTCTGTACCAAGGTTCTTTAGTCACATGCTTTCCTGCAATGGCATCAGTCATACTTGTGTACTTGGAACCTAAGTATTCTGGGACATAATAATCATAGATGTCTGGATAATTGTACTGTAGCTGGATACCTAAAATTGAAAACAACTAACTTATCGTTTATAGTCTAGACTTATAGGCACATTATGCCTCAGATATCAATAATATTTTATTCCTTAGATAGGTCAAACATGGGATTAATAATCTTTTAATAATGACTTAAGAGTATGTTAAATGTTGAACAGCTGATGAAAGTAGCACTGAATTCGCAATTACATGTTTTAATTGTGGCAAAATGTAAACAGACTTGTATTTTGACTTCCATATAAATAATAAATCACTTGACAAAAAACAAAGGATGTAATAGATTATAAGTTCATCTATATGGCCAATGAGTAACTTTTTGGAAACTGTAACATGTTAGTAAAAATAAACTAGAACTATCACTAAATGTGATTAATACCCCCACAAGTCTGCTTCGGAAATGAGGATGTTACTAGTAAAAGAATACCTTGTAAAAGAATTGAAACATAGAGTTATGGTTGTGGGCAATTAAAGATAATAGTGGTTCATGTATGTTGCATTTCCTTTCAATGTGGTTGGCCATTGATGAAGTTTAATTGAATTACTCTGTAATAAGTCCAGAAAGACAAAGAAAAAGAACAAAGGGCAATAACTCTATAAATACTGAAGATAGAGTTATAGTTCTTGTGCACTGCACTTCCTCTTATTGTGCCTGACCATTTATGAAGTTGTTTTGAATTCCAACCAATACGTTTTAAGTTATGTTCCGGACAAGGAAAAGTATCAAAGGGCAGTAACTCTGTATTTTGTCAAATTGGAGTTATGGCTCTTGTGCACTGCACTTTCTTTGAATGTCCTTGACAACTGTATGAAGTTGTACTGAATTCCAAACAGTAGTTTTCAAGTTATGCTCTGGACAAGGAAAAGTAACAAAGGGCAATAACTCTGTAATTAGTCAAGATGGAGTTATGGTTCTTGTGCACTGCACTTCCCCTTATTGTGCTTGACCATTGTATGAAGTTGTTTTGAATTCTAACCAGTAGTTTTCAAGTCATGCTCTGGACAAGGAAAAGTAACAAAGGGCAGTAACTCTGTAATTAGTCAAGATGGAGTTATGGTTCTTATGCACTGCACTTCCTCTCAATGTGCTTGTCCATTGTATGAAGTTATAATGAATTCCAACAATAAGTCTTCAAGTTATGGTCCGGACAAAAGAAAGCAATGGAAAAGTAACAAAGGGCAGAGACGTTAAAATACATGTATTTATATGTCTCTGCAAAGGGCAATAACTCTGTAATTAGTCAAGATGGAGTTATGGTTCTTGTGCACTGCACTTCCTCTCAATGTGCTGGACCATTGTATGAAGTTATAATGAATTCCAACAATTAGTCTTCAAGTTATGCTCCGGACAAAAGAAAGCAATGGAAAAGTAATAAAGGGCAATAATGCTTGACCATTGTATGAAGTTGTTTTGAATTCCAACCAGTAGTTTTCAAGTCATGCTCTGGACAAGGAAAAGTAACAAAGGGCAGTAACTCTGTAATTACTTTAGATAGAGTTATGGTTCTTATGCACTGCACTTCCTCTCAATGTGCTTGACCATAATGTATGTAGTTATATTAAATTCCAACCATTAGTCTTCAAGTTATGCTCCGGACAAAAAAAAGAAGGCAATTGAAAAGCAACAAAGGGCAATAACTCTGTAATTACTTTAGATAGAGTTATGGTTCTTGTGCACTGCACTTCCCCTTATTGTGTTTGACAATTGTATGAAGTTGTTTTGAATTCCAACCAGTAGTTTTCAAGTTATGCCACGGACAAGGAAAATGCAACGAACGTCTGGACCGACCGACCGACCGCCCGCCCGCCCGACTGACCGACCTACCACCGGGTGACTCCTATATACCCCCCCAAACTTCGTTTTTGGGGGTATAAAAAGTTTTTGAGAAATAAAAATTATATCATTTAAGTAAGGGGCATAATTGGCCTTTTAATGTTCCTGATTTTTCTTGCATAATTCTTTCCAAAGTCCATTAATTACAGGAGTTTATATGGATTGAAAGTAATTCTTCAGATGTAAACAAAAACAGTTTTTTTGGCATAGGTTTGACAGCAATCATAATTGTATCATTTCTGTGTATTTGTACTTCTGCGGTTGAGTGCTTTTCAGAAAATTGACAGAAACTGTTCAAAAATTGTATTTGGCTCAGGACTGCATGCCCCAGCACATATGAGGCATTTGTTAACTAAACTTACCTATTTCATCAATATTTTTTGAAGTGTCCATAGAAATACAAAGAAAACTTTGTCCATAGATGTCTGCAGAACTTGGCCAATCATAACCTCTTGACCTTGCTGGTGGGAACTTAGGTGTACTGTGAACCAACCAAAACCCACTCTGTCTGTCAAAAGCTATCACACCTGTAAACAATGAGTCAGTGAATGAAAATAACTATTTGGTGAACAGAAATCAGTCATCTTACTTGCTAACGAGTATAACTTAACCTGACTAACACAAATTTATCAGTGGCTGACTAATAACCCCACATGATTTCTGAATTAGCAGTGAGAGGCTGTAATAACTGTTATCTAGCATTTCCTTGTCAAAATGCTTTTAGAGTATCAATTATGAAATTAATAATTACGATATAATGAATCATAAACTAACTTTTTCCATCACAGTGAATAAAAGAAAGAATTAACTTGAACTGGACATTTTGTGTTGTGTCATTAATAAGTCTTACTTAACAAAGAGGATACTGGATGTAACAGTTACAAGGAATCAAATTATATCCCAGTATCCTACCACAACCAAACGAGGGTTTTCGTGTAGGGCGCTCACTATGCCAGCGAGTCTAATTCCCCCTACAACCCACAAGCGAAGGCCCTAACGGCGACCCTTGGCTACATAAACCATTAGATTCAATGCTCTCAGATAAATTGTAACATAGCAGACTGTTTCAGAGACTTCTATCTTTAAAGACATTTTACAGTGTATTTCATGGAATTCATAATAAGGTCCACTTGCTTGTAAAACATAACTTATGCACATTAAACTTTAACCTGTAATTTGAGCTTTGTCACCAGTTTATATGGGTGGGTCAACCTGCATATTCATGCAGTCCTAAACCAGGATATATACTGTCAGTAATGTTTTTATATTTTCATAATGAAATCCCTTAATTTTAATATGGACTGTTCCCAATTCAAAACAGGGAGAATCCATTATAGAAAATTCAGCAGGTTAACAATTAAATTGAAATTCTACTTATTCCTTTATAAACTTAATTAAGTAAATTGTTTATTATTGTGATATGTGCATAGTCTATTACAAATCACAATTATATATGTGTACAGTTATAGCAACCGGCCTTATAAGTCACCAATTTAATGATTTCATTATAAATGCATCATATATATAAAATATAGAATGTAGTTTGCATGGTTTAAGCAAATATAAAGTGAAGTGGTTCTAAATAATGTGAAAACAATATTTACAAAAGGCTACAAACATTTATATATAGAGCTTGATAAAGAATAGCTTAAACACATGTATTATCTCTTAACAATTTAAAAGATGTACCTTTGGTATGTCCATTTTCATCACTCCTGTGATACGGTGCTGATGCTGGTACTTCATCATTATACATCAAGTACAGCAACTCTGAATTTACTTTGCTCACATTCTGTAAGAGTTATCTTACAATTATTCTAACACTCTTCACATTATTACACATTCAAGCAGATAGGACTGTCAAGTGCATTATTACACAATATACACAAATGTATGCATAGCATAAAAAAGGGAATGCTTACACATCATATTATGTCAGATATGATGTCAATAAACCAAATGATTTCATGAAAATTACTTCTAAGCACCATTAAGTTGAACATAAATTTTTCAAAATCAATTCTCTTTTTATCAGCATATAAGAATGAAAGAAACATATTGTTGTAGTAGAATAATGCACGTTTTATTGTTCAAATGCTTGGTAATTTATCACTTGGGCCTATCGGCCTTCCTGATTAATATTCCTGTGCATTTGAAGTCAACCTGTGCTTTATTCAAGAACAATGCACTCAAAACTTATTTTATAAAAATAACATTTAAACAAGAGTCATTTCATCTCTTAAAACAGTTAGCTTTACTATTCTCAGTGTTAAACAAGTGTCATGAAAGTTCACAAACGGGGCATAAATAAGTAAAAAATACTTCATGATTCAGTCTTGGTCTACAATCATTCCTAGTGTTATAAAATTATACACCAAATTTATTAATAATAAGTGTCTTTTTAAACTTGCATTTTGAACTGCCAACTTTAAATTTTTAATTTCCTTTAGTGCTTTTCATTTATATATTATTTATTTTTCACAAACTTAATGTATAATACTTAATTCAAGACACAAAACATTAGATGAACATCACAAATTCTTGAAATTCTGGTCATTGTTAACTGTTACATTTTTATACATTTATATTATGACTAACCTACTTAAAAATAATAGAGATATAAAATCCGAATGACATTTCATCACTGTAGTACAGTACATTTTGTAAATGCCATTGGGTTAACCCATACTGCACAGAGGAGATGATTTATGATATTTTTTTCACTGCCTACATGACTGTATGTTTTTAGTTTCTAAAATGAAATTCATTTTGAATTCATTCATCAAGGAAATTCTGATCTAACAACTAACACAATAGATAGGGGCCATGGGTAAATGTTCCTACCACAAATCCATACCATTTCAAGATATTGAGCAGTCAAGGATTTTAAATGGAGCTTCACTGTAATCTTTACCTTGACCGTAACTGACTTCAAAAATAGACAATTGTCAGGTCATCTACCGGCCATGGGCAATGTATGTCCGAACTTAAAGTTTCACCATCTAGACTTATTACTTCTCATTCCTAGCTACCTTCTTTTTGGGGGATAGAGGACAGAAATAGAAATTTTTTACAGCCTTATGGTGCTTACTAATAGTAGGTTTTGTTCTACCTTGAAAGATGTTTGGTAAATCTGGTCTAATGTGTTGTAGATAGCCTGGCCTCTGTCTGACATTACTTTTGATGAGAGGGTCCATTCAGGAGATTTAGCATCCATATAGAAAAATGAATTTAATGGGACTTCTTTCTGATGTCCAGGCAGCTTGTATGCAATAAACCTGAAAAGAAACATTATAGTACTGTAAACAAAAATTTATGCTACTGAAAACAGCGGCTAATGCTAGGTTAATGCTAGGTTAATGCTACTGAAAACAAAGGTAAATGCTACTGAAAACAATGTCACTCAGGTAAATACTTCTGAAAACAAAGGTAAATGCTACTGAAAACAAAAGTTCATGCTACTGAAAACAAATGTTTATGCTACTGAAAACAAAGGTCAATGTTACTGAAAACAAAGATTACAGGATAAAGTGAGAGTGTGGAGAAAATTATCTGATTGTTTATTCTTTATAGGGGCGTATAAAAGTTGGATATAATTTCTCCCATAAATATCAAAGTATTAACACACTGCTTGCTTTATTAGTCAGTCAATATTGGTAGCAGAAAATCTATTAAAGAAAACAACATACATGTAACTTATTAAAATTAAATATTTCACAATATTACACAAACTCAAACCTCATTCAATACAATAAAAAGATCATTTGAAAATATTAAAGGGAGTTGACTTCAAACAAAGGTTATCTGAACAATTTGTCATTCAAGTATGTAGCTCAGGATATCTCAAAACAGATGTACATGTATACTGTTCTCATCTTAGGTCATATGGTACATGTACTTGAAATAAGAATTAAGAAAAACAAACAATGAACTTACCATACAGAAACAAATTGTTTTCTGTTGTAACTTTTAAGTATATTCAGTTTTATGACACAATAAAAACAAGATACATTGTATTCAATTAAAAGCACAATTATTGCACTGTGAACACGACATAAGATCATGTGTTGGCCATTTCTAAAACATTAAATCATCATTTATCCTTTAATCATGTTAATAATTGGTGTTACTTGTTCATTTTTCATGTATAAGTTAAAAACTACTAAATTTTTATCTTCTAACAAGAACAATTAGGAAATGATGACTGTTTCAATAGACATAGATTATTTCAACATTTAAACAGACTTTTGAGACATTTTAGCTGAAGTAACAAAATGTTGCTCTGTTTCACTGAGACCCTCAAATACATTTATTTTCATTATTTTGTTTGAAAACTTCTATTAGAGTATGAATACTACATGTTCAGGTCGATAATGGAAAATGTAATATTAGTGATAACTATTAACAGCCAAATCAGCAGGTCAGCTTGGCCCTAAAACTAAATCAGTCCCCGAGTCATCCCACCCCTATACAAACCCTGCACAAATTAACTTTAATACAAATGTTCAGCACACATTTAAAGGAAAGGAGATTTAAAAAAGTTTTATTGATGGATGTTTTATGCATATTTGTATATGAAGAATTTACAATTTTAATTTGTTACTTCTAGAACAGATCTACATTGGTTATGTTTATTTCTTACCTTCTTGTACAATACAGGTATACTTTTAAATAGCATTGTATGTGAAACAGAACAATAATTTTCAATATAAATCTTCTTAATAGTGGGCTGAGTTGACCTGTGCTTAAAGTTGATAAAATGAGAAGCTCAAGCAAAGTTTACACTGTAGGGTAGACTAGTAGCCAAAGTATTTATTTTAAAAAGTATTAATTTAAAACTTTAATAAATTGATTCCAACATATTTTTGGAATATATGATTTAGTTTACTGTTTAAATTTTCTGTGATTCTGATTGCCTAAAATCTGTACTGAATCAAAAACACTCAATTTAAAAAAGAAAAAATTAGATCTAGAAACTTCCCAATTTAGTCATCAAAATTTTAAAAAACCTTCTTGACCGCATGTTTTTTCTTTTTCTTCTTCTTTTTTTTAATATACTGGATTAGTGAAGTTGACACTTTAACAGGTTAACTCTTTTAAATAGTAAAATATTCGACTATTGTATTTAATGCTGAAAAATAAAGGTAAATCAAAATGAACCTTGCACATAAGTAAGAAATCATGTCACATGAACAAAGATGTTCCAAATATAGTACTTGCCTGTACTCTTAGTGCCGTTTCAGTAAATTATGTCATATGGCTAACATAGCCAGTGAAATTGATGTTTCAAAATATAATTATGCTATATTATTATCAGCATGAATATTTTAATACTTTAAATGGTCGAAAATGATGTTGAAATGATTGTTTTATTGAATAATGCACAAGGATATTTGCAAAACAAGGTTTTACCATTCTGGTTTAACAAAACTAGTTCCATCATTGAAAGATTTATCATACATTGACAGTTTGAAAAAAACTTAAACTGCCAAGTCTAACTCATTGTAGATTAAGAGGGGATATGATTCAGACATTCCAAATTGTTAAAGGTTAAGCTCAGCCAGACTACCCATTTAATTTTTTTTAATTATTCAGCTTATTTCAGCATCAACAAGGTCATAATTTAAAACTTGAAATGCCTCGCTGCAGAACAACTCATTGATTGAATCTGTTTCCATGTTGTGTCTTTAAAACATGGAATAATTTGTCTAAAAATGTAGTAGACTAGTGTTCATGAATTTAAAATCAAGATGGATCAACACTGGACCAAAAAAATACCATATTAATAATCTGATAAAATTTAAAATAATAACTGTAGCATTATGCTGTAAACAATTATGAGAGCCCAGAACCATCCTACAGGTACTATATAAATAGTTTTCTTTCATCTGATGCGGCATTACTTACAGTAAAATTTGAGTAGATTACATGTACTGATGACTACTGAGATCAGACCCGTTTTATCACTGTTTATCTGTTTATTACTGATTTATGCAAAACGTACATGAGGTTAAAAAAATGATCAGTCTTACCAGTCGATTGGCTCATTTGATTGCGAAATGCATCCAACACAGTTGACATAGCTTATTGTTACGCATAAAATAAATGAAAAAACTATGACCACTCTGTGCAGTCTCTTCCTTGTTCCCGCCATCTTGTCAAACAGGAAAATAAAGTATCACATGAGCGTCACATGACTAGCATATCCGTGAACTTTCGTTAAACTCCGGATGCGTCCGTACACAAGTGTGCATCATTCGGAACTTCTTCGGCTATTATCAATAATAGTCCGACGGAAAGGGCCGAGTAGTTGCGATTAGACACTACTGACTCAAGGTTGTCTAAGCGATGATATGTCATTTCAATTTTACCTTTATCTAAAGTTATGAAAAAAATATTAAGTATTGAATTGACAGATATTTGCATGAAGACTGACGTAAAGATTGCCTTTATTAAATAATTAAAAAGTTATTTACCATTAGGAAAACAAAACATAGTTGGTTACAAGTTTTTTCTTCTTTTTTTTTCTTTTCTTTTTCAATATACCGGAGAAAAAATCAAGGAAAATATTTCTATAAACGTATTTACCATAAGAAAGACAAAACTTATCCAGATATCTCTATTTTAATCAAGATGTTTCAAACAATTTTTGCATTTTATTTTTTTAGTCCAACATACCTAAAAATGAGATATTATCAAGGAAAATGCCGCTTTTACCATAAAACAAACACAACAGATTAAATGATTAAGTATTAACACACGCTCATTTAGTAATACGTACGTGATCATTTAGGTCCCTAAAATACAATTTTAGAAGTGCATTATATCAATACAAGAAAATAATTGTTTTTAACATTTTTCCCTCAACTTTACTCTTAAAAATTCATCCGATATATTTAAGTTACATTATTACTTAGTAAAAATTAATGTCTTACTAGTCCGGCAGAATTTGGGCAAAACCTTACAAAAAACAAAGATAAATAAATAGGATTTTGTATCGCATACAAATATTTACAAATGAACAGGATAATTACGGTTTATTTAAAGCAAGAGTGGAAACATATTTAAGTTTTGCAAACAGTTCAAATGAGAAAAAAAGAGGAAAGAACATTCTCTCATATGGCTATGCATTGTTCTTATTATAATTTTATTTGAGCCGCGCCATGACAAAACCAACATAGTGCGTTTGCGACCAGCTGTTCGCTATCAGTATCTCTATCTGTAATAGGGTTTGTAAGCGAACAGCATGGATCCTGATCAGACTGCGCAGATGCGCAGGCTGGTCTGGATCATACTCTCCTGCGCATCGGTCGAATGTTCCACTATCAGTAACGTGAGTGTGAAGGGAGCGTATTACGTTGGTTTTGTCATGGCGCGGCTCATTTCTGTTCTGTATGTATGTACGTATAGATGAGACTATGATAAAATATAGAATAGATGTCATTGTTATTCATTTCCATACTCAATGAAATAAGTTTAGATAGCTTTCTATAGTGATATATCTTGTAAATCTTCTATTTTAAGGGATTAAAATAAGATGAAAAAATGTTTATTTATAATAAAAGTTGAGTAGGTTTGTGGTGATAGCTGTGGGCAATTGTTTGCTGCTAAGAACAGATTTATACTACACAATTTCAAATAAAATTATACATTGACAAACATGAAATACAGGATTAAATATGAAAAGGCTGACACGGATTCATTTGTACTACAAAAGTCACAGACAAGACATAAATTTGTACATAAAGTATTACTACTATTAGTAGAAACAATTCAAAGCATAGGCCTACTCTATCTGAAAGAAATTTTAAGCGAATTTTAAAAATAGTATATCATATCTTTACATTTCGTATGTCATTCCGTGGGACCTGTAGAGAGGTCTTCAAAGTTTTAAAAATGCTAATCCTTCATAAAATCCGCATAGAGTGGCATAAATCGATTTTTTATGGTAAATTGCCTACTTAAAAATGATTATTTGTAAAAGGAAGAAAAAATCACAATAGAAAATTTCTCGCTATTTTTTTTCCAGTTGACATACCAAATGAATATATTTTATTTTCTCGTACATGTCTGTGCTTTACTCACCTTTGCTTGTATGAACATATATTTGACAAAGGTTATATCTTAAGCATACCTCACCAATAAGCAGCTACGCAACTATAGATCCATAAATAAATCATGTATATAAAGTTAGTTACACATTTCTTTAATTTTACTTTCTCGAAACTCGTGCGTATCGGCAGGTTTGACACTGTACAGTGAGTAATCACTTAAAAGAACAATGTATTCTCTAGCTACATGACCTTAATGTATTACAATAAGACTTTCATCACGTCAATGTTTGTGGCTGAATACTGAATATGAATATGATGAATATGTAGATCTAATATTGTTATTCAAATAAAAGGTTATATAGGGTAGGGATCAATCATTCGGAGTTAAATGCATGAGCATTTTTTTTTCAAAATATCTTACGCAGATGCTTTATTTAATGATTTAAATGATTGATCCTTGCAATTCTTATGCAGATATATCAGAAATAACTGCAACTGCTGTCTCTATTGGCGTATTTTCTTCTGTTCCTTATTCGAAGTTGAATAAGGAAAAAAGAACAGGTTCCTTATTCCTCATTCGACTTTGACATATTTTAAAAATATTTTTATGCAGATGCTTTATGCAATGATTTTAATGAGGTATAAGGAACAGGTTCACTATTCCTTGTACGACTTGAATATTGTTTAAAAATATGTCGATGCGGATGCTTTATTCTATGATTTTGATGATTGATTTGTGCAATTTTCAACAGATTTGTGAAAGAAAGAACTGTTCTAGTTTTCTGATCAACTTTAATTTTTATTTTAAATAAATACTTATTCTGCTGTTCCTTATTAAGATTTGAGTAAGAAATCAGGAACTATAGTTCCCTATTCCTTATTCGAAAAAGGAATAAGGAACTGATTCATTATTCCTTATTTGAAAAAGGAATAAGGAATAGGGAACTAACTTTATGCACATAAAAAATCACATTTTTTTAATTTTACTTTCTCGAAACTCGTGCGTATACATCGGCAGGTTTGACACTGTACAGTGAGTAATCACTTAAAAGAACAATGCATTCTCTAGCTACATGACCTTAATGTATTACAATAAGACTTTCATCACGTCAATGTTTGTGGCTGAATATGATAGAATATGTAGATCTAATATTGTTATTCAAACAAAAGGTTATATAGGGTAGGGATCAATCAATAGAATCAATATAAAAAGAATCAATGCTTGTGAAACCCTGTCCGCCGAGGTGAAATTATTACAGTGTTTGGTATTGGTGTGATGTGATGTGATGTGATGTGATGTGGTGTGGTGTGGTGTGGTGTGATGTGGTGTGGTGTGGTGTGGTGTGGTGTGGTGTGGTGTGGTGTGGTGTGGTGTGGTGTGGTGTGGTGTGGTGTGATGTGGTGTGGTTGGTGTGGTGTGGTGTGGTTGGTGTGGTGTGGTTGGTTTGGTGTGGTATGGTATGGTGTGGTGTGGTGGTGTGGTGTGGTTGGTTTGGTGTGGTATGGTATGGTATGGTATGGTGTGGTGTGGTGTGGTGTGGTGTGGTGTGGTGTGGTATGGTGTGGTGTGGTGTGTTATGGTGTGGTGTGGTATGGTGTGGTATGGTGTGGTATGGTGTGGTGTGGTGTGGTGTGGTGTGGTATGGTATGGTGTGGTATGGTGTGGTTTGGTGTGGTTGGTGTGGTGTGGTGTGGTGTGGTGTGGTGTGGTGTGGTGTGGTGTGATGTGGTGTGGTGTGGTGTGATGTGATGTGATGTGATGTGATGTGGTGTGATGTGATGTGATGTGGTGTGATGTGGTGTGGTGTGGTGTGGTGTGGTGTGATGTGATGGCTGTACTTTATAGAATTTGAAATACACAATGTAGTTTATTGTAGCATACATTTATAGCTCCATATGATCGAAGGTAAATGAAGGTACATGTAAATGTTGACATACAGCAATCTTGATCGATCTACTTGCCCATCTACCTACCTACGTAAGGTAAGACAATATTTTACGTGTGCATCTGATAAGTAGCTTTTTTTCTGATGCCCCCGCCCCAACCCCACACACCCCTTTTTGTGCTGGCCACCGTACATTGCGGACAATTTGAAATACGCCTTTTTCCTGAAATTAATTATCTTCAATTATATTCTTCAGATTTTCACAATATATAAATACTCCCATACTTCCATTTCGACACATATCTCAACTCATTTGTTTATATTAATTTGAAGAATCTGCTAAAATGGTAGAGCTAAATAAATAAAAAAAAGTATAAAAAAATAACGTTATATTTTGACAAATAAATTATTTACAGAATCAATATGACCATCCCAAATTACACTACTTTCAATCATAATGGTGTTAAAATTCGGAAAACCACACTGCACCTAAATAGCAGTTCAATACGGTGTACATAAGCGTATTACAATGAAATTTTTAATTTAAAGTTTAAAGGCAAATTATACCTCTGATTCGAATAAAATTGTTATTTAGTAAGGGCAAACATGAATTTCATAACAGTAAAATAATGAATGGTCTTAGGGCATGTTAGCTGCTTATCATCTGAAGAAAGTACACATGTATGTGAAATTAGTTCAAATTTTGTCACAAAAGTAGTAAAATAGGAATAATTTGAAGTAGTATTTGACTTCCATACAAAATAATATAATCACTATACTTGTATTACATGTATTACATGACAAAAAGCAATTGAAGCAAAGGATGCTTCGAAGGGCCGGTGGGCAATGTTTTGAAAACCATAATTGGACGCCAGAAATACAAAAAGTTTTACGGACTAAAGATTTTGTTTGATTGTCATATAGCGACGTTTAAGCTTTACTGGTAAAGGAAGACCTCGGGTGACCTTCCGTGCATTATTTCTGGAAAGAACAAGCACCTGAGTAGTACCACCGATCTACTTTCCGTAAGCTAGCTGGATATCTTCCTCACATGAAAGAATCCAAAGTCCCTGTCGGGATTGGAACCCCAGTAGTAAGGGGCAAGTGGTTTGAAATCAACGACCTTAACCACTCATCCCACGAACTAAAGATAGTAACATAGTGGGACGTAATGGGCCTTTAACAAATTACCTGTCCTGTAACTAGCTGATACGGTACGATGTATTAAGTAATACATGTACATATAACTGCGGTTATTGATTTAACATTAACTTTTGACATTAGTCATATAAATCAATATTAATTTATAAAAATCTGGAAACAAACTGTTACTTTATAAAATGTATGTGTGAAGGTTAACGTGCACATTTGCCTACATGTCAGGTAAGTTTTACATAATTACTTCATCATTATCTTTGTTGCTTGAAAAGGTGTGGTATATATCTGTTCTGATCTGTTCTATTCATGTTCGGTTATGTTGGTGTTGTTGATGGTGGGAATTTTTTTTCTTATCTTTTTATTATTTTTTTACATCGTCATATTGAATGCCGAAGACTTTTTATAGCTGTCCATATTATAGCACAATTAAGGTATTGACTTAATCAGAAAACAAAAATCTTTGTGTTCGCCGTTCAATGTTACTCATTTACGAAGCGTGATCCATTTTATATTTCGTTTACATGTAACTTAATTTATTTTATTTTTCTTGCCATGTCATCTAATAACACGCACACATGTCTTTACATTACCAATAACTATAACTGTTGAAATAAAATCATCTTCTTGTTAACGTGTTTCTCTAAACCATGTAGGTGATCTAGTGTTCTAATATCTATTTCTATATAAATATCGACATTATGTACGTGATCTAGTTTCATTTTACAGTTTCCATCTCAATCCTTTTCTTGTTTCCATCTAAATCTTCGTGATGTAGTGTTCTTTTTCCTGTTTCCATCTAAATCTACGTGGTATATAGTGTTCATTTTCCAGTTTCTATCTAAATCCACGTGGTGTAGTGTTCCTTTTCCTGTTTCCATCTTAATCTTCGTGATACATTGTTCTTTTTCCTGTTTCCATCTAAATCTACGTGGTATAGTGTTCATTTTCCAGTTTCTATCTAAATCCACGTGATGTAGTGTTCTTTTTCCAGTTTCCATCTAAAGCCACGGGATATAGTGTTCTTTTTCCTGTTTTCACCTAAATATACGTGGTACAGTGTTCATTTTCCTGTTTCCATCTAAATCTACGTGATCTAGTGTTCATTTTCCTGTTTCCATCTAAATCGACGTGGTATAATGATAATTTTCCTGTTTCCATCTACAACTAAGTGGTTAAGTGTTCATTTTCCTGTTTCAATCTAAATCTACATGATGATCTAGCATTCATTTTCCTGTTTCCATCTAAATATACGTGATCTAGTGTACATTTTCCTTTCCGATCATGTACGTGACCTGAACTTTTCATGTACTTATTTCCGTGATTTTTGATTTATTTCCACCAATCTCGCATACATGTATCTTTAATACACACATTTACTACTGAGTACGACATAAAAAAAAGCTATTATTATTTTAATGAGATTTTGTGGTTAATCGTATTTGAAAAAAAAATCTGACAATTAATAAGTTCAACGAGGTTATAGTTCTTTTTGCGGTCGTTTACCTAAGTTTTGAAGCAGAGTATCAATATTCAAAAGTACACATGTATAGTTAAAGACTGTTAAAATCGAAAACAAATTGTTCAATCCATCTTGATGCACCCTTTTTTACTTTATTTAAAGGCACATTATGCCCCAGAAACGACTCTAGGAAGAACAAATACAAGCTTGTAACAGTAAAATTATGGTTTTAGAGCATGTTAGATGCTTATTTAAGTTACCTGAAGAAAGTACATTTGTACAGCATTTGTCATTAACATTTAATGGACTTGTATTTTGGAAGTTTTTTTCTTTCTTTTTTAACTATGTTAAAGCAATAGATTTCTTTTTATTTGTATTTTTTCAGGCACTTACAAACATGCGGCCACACATGTTTGTATTATGTGTGTACGGATATTGCATTCTAGCACGAGTTATTTGTGATACTGGAAATGTTCCAATTTATGTATACCATCAACGTTCAGTACTGTCACAAGTATTTTCTTATTTCTATGGTATGATATTATTGTAAAATATATGTGTTTATACAGTATGTAGTTTCGTAATTGATCTGCAGTTTTAATCAATAATAAAATCTTATGAGTATTATTTAAAACATAATTATTTTCATTTTGACAACATGTTTTGTTACATTGCATATTCGCTTCTTAATCGGCTACAAGTTGATATACATAGTACAGCGTTTGGAATGCATTTAAGGGCCAGGATGTGGGTTGCGTGGGTTATCTTCAGAACTTTGTCGTTTAAAGAAAGTTTAATAAAGCACTGTATAAAAAGTCAAAAAGATAACTTCAAAATCGGGTTAAATATTTATCAACAAAAATGTGTATCAACTTACTTGAATATATGTTTACATAATACATATGTCAGAAATATAATTCAAAGTTCATAATATCATTCACACATACAATATCTAAGAAAGCCTCTGGTTTATATTAAATGTGATAAAATTGCATGAACACAATTTTCTTTTAATAATATTTTTAACTTCTAACGAAATAGGATCTATGTAATTAGTAGTTCTGTTCAACTGAGTGCACTTCTATCCAAAACATGAGCCTGGAAAAAAACACATATATTTCGTATATGAAAATATTGATAATTACTGTCAGGTTTCGAATCAAAACCTAAGTAGTGAATAACTCTGTGTAAAGTCAGTCACCTTTACCATCTGTCACCTTTCCCGCAAACTTCTCACAGTGATTAATTAGCTACGCCACAGATTTATATTACAAAATAATATAAATCCGTGGCTACGCTCATTAATTAGCTACGCTCAAATGTGTAACGGAGCAAGGGGAAACACTGCGTCGGAGTCAATCGCAACTGTTCGACCCTTTCCGTCAGTCTTCGGATAAGGTTATTATAGATAATAGCCGATGACGTTCCGATTGCGTCGGAGTTTGCCTTTACATGTTTAATAATTTAAGCGGTTATTTTTTACTAGTAAACTCATTCGAAAATAAACATACCTGAAATATTAAATACAACAGTCTATTTATTTTACAGGTGTTGTGATATTGCTTACAATATTTGCATTGCTGGCTCCCGGAAACCAGATCCATCCAGACGTGGAGGACATGTTTTATTTCAAACCAAAATATGATAGAAAATAATGTTAACATTATATGCCAAACTTTTCAATCATATTGATCTTAGCTTTTGCTTGAATAAGATTAATATCTTTTTTAATATTTAATGGGTTTTAGAAATAGTTTAATTATTTGGTATTGTTAAAATCATTTAAAAAACATAGAAATGATTGTTGTCTGACAACATGTAAGTCATGTACACATTTGTAAATGATTTAAAAGGTACATAATTATTTAATCTTGCGGGAAAAGAACAACTTTCCCTATACCTTTTACAGCTTTTTATGAAATACGAAATGAAAATAAATGTATACACTGTATCTGTATTTTTATATTTATTTTTAAGCCACCTATGTCCCCGTTTATGACCTTGACCTTTGGCAGTGTGACCTCTAAGTGAATTTGCGGGAAGATCGCGTCAAAGTGCTTATCTGTAATTTGCAGGCTGTTGATAGAAGTTTGTCGGAGGGGGGGGGGGGTTGCACCCGTTGATGTGTGATATTTTGGGTTGACAGTGACCTTGACCTTTGACTTCGACAAAGTCTTACGAATAGAGTTCATCAAAGTGCATATATTTGTTTAGTTAATTAGCTGTGAATGAAAGGACTTATGTTTGATGATCAATGTTATTTTTTTATATTTGAGGGTTATGGTAACCTTAACCTTTGACACTTTAACCACAAAGTGGATATTGCTGGTAAACCACATCAATGTACTTGCATCTGCAGTTGTAACGTCTATAGGCTGTGGATGGAATGACTCTGTAAAAAGTTAATATTTGGATGACATTGACCCATTACCTCTTATTAGGACTGCGAGTATAAAGAATCATTGTGCTTTTATCTGCCTGAGTGGAAGGACTTCTGTTTTATGACACAGTTAAATTTCATATTCAGCGTTCACGATGGCTTTTTTGTTTTGACCCCATGACTTCCTAATCCGTATTGCCAGTAGAGAGCATTAATGTTCTGGTATCTGTAATCTAAAGACTCTAAACAGATATGACAATATCGGGTCAGAGTAGCCGTAGACAAGACGGTGCATTTGTTCAGTTTTTGATTTCACTGACAAATGTTTCTTTCATCCACGTATACATCACGTAACACAAACTTTTTTTTTGCTATTTTACAACGTCTTTTCGCACATTACCGGAATACTTGACCCTGTGGTGATAGTTTGATTAGTAAGGTGGTTACCCTTAACATACAACAACTCACTAATCCCAGATTAGTCCCATCTGGTTATTCTGGCGTATTTAAACCATTCATGACATTGATCGACTTTATTCTACACATTACAAATCGTCACTTGGTCTGTAGAAATAAAATTTGTTAATATAACGTTTTCGAATCTGATTATATGCTGAACAGATACAAATAAAATGATATTCATCTTCTAGATCACCTCTGTTACAAATCATATAATGTCTTTGGTTACGTTTTATTCTATTATTACCATAGCGACCTGTTTCAATTCGTAGTTGTCGAGAAGATAGGCTTAACTTAGTCAATGGTATACGAAGTTTAAGCGGAATGTTATCTAAATAGTATTCAAATTTAAAACAGTTTTTAAATAATTTATAAGTACATAAACTTGGACTAACAGACAATGTGGCAGTCCATGCCTGAACAAATTGGTCCGTTAGTCTTTGTTTGAATAACAAAGGAAACGTTTTAATATTAATACTATCAGGATTGTTCCATACATGTAAAAATCTATTATTTTCTAACAAAGATTTTACTTTAGATACCCAATTTACCTTGCCTCTTTGACAATCATTTAACATTATTTCATACATCTTTTTAACTATAATATTTTCACAGTTTACAATTATTAGCCAGTATTTTACAATCCTCACCATAAATAGCCATATTGCTAGTGCTTTGTTTCACACAGAGTATTGACTTACAGAATCTTAAATGAATTCTCTCAATTTCTTTACTTTTGCTTAAACCCCATATCTTACGGAATGCCGTTAGGGCCATCGCCTATGAATGTGTTGATCTGAAACGCGATAGTCGATAGTACGATGGTGAAAACGCGAAATCACGAAACAACGATGGTGAAAACGCGAAAGTACGATGATGAAAACGCGATAATACGATGATGAAAACGCGACAGTACGATACTACGATGATGAAAACGCGATAAACTATCGTGTTTTCACCATCGTACTGTCGCGTTTTCATCATCGTAGTTTCGTGATTTCGCGTTTTCATCATCGTACTGTCGAGTATCGCGTTTCAGATCAAACCATTGATAGGCGATGGCCCTAACGGCATTCCGGAATGCCGTTAGGGCCATCGCCTATGAATGTGTTAATCTGAAACGCGATAGTTGATAGTACGATGATGAAAACGCGAAATCACGAAACTACGATGGTGAAAACACGATAGTACGATGATGAAAACGCGATAGTACGATGATGAAAACGCGATAGTACGATGATGAAAACACGACAGTACGATGGTGAAAACGCGATAGTACGATGATGAAAACACGACAGTACGATGATGAAAACGCGATAGTACGATGGTGAAAACGCGATAGTACGATGATGAAAACACGACAGTACGATGATGAAAACGCGATATCACGAAATTACGATGGTGAAAACGCGACAGTACGATGGTGAAAACACGATAGTTTATCGCGTTTTCATCATCGTAGTATCGTACTGTCGCGTTTTCATCATCGTACTTTCGCGTTTTCATCATCGTTCTTTCGCGTTTTCACCATCGTAGTTTCGTGATTTTGCGTTTTCACCATCGTACTATCGACTATCGCGTTTCAGATCAACACATTCATAGGCAATGGCCCTAACGGCATTCCGTAATATCTCGCTCGCATAATTTAACACAGAGCCAACAACTGCATCAAATAATTGACAAAGGGTGCTTGGCTTTAATGGCATGGCTTTGGTATTAGCAAGCAGTATATTTAATGCCTGTAAGCCTTTACCAGTCAATGTTTCCTGGTTTAGGTTAAAAGTTCCGGTATAATTAAAAACTGTGCCGAGGTAATTAAAGTAAGAAGCAACTTCTATATGCATATTGTTATAAGTCCATTTTCATCAGGCCCACGTTTTCTAAAAACAACAATTTTACTTTTATCCGGATTTACTTCTAATCTCCAAATACTGCAATATGTGAATAATAAATAAAGATTCTTTTGTAAGTCAGAAGTATGTAAGTCGAAAGTATGCCTTAAAAATGGCGTTGTCCATATAGTCAACATGTGAACTGGCAAATCAACCTTTCCCATTAAAATGACTCTATTATTTCAAGTTAATTTGTTAAAAATTACTTCAAACATTTTTTTCCGAATAAAAATCAACAATTTCACGGCTAACTGTGTTTTAACCCTTATGTATAGACTCAATCAAACCGAGTCTGCAATTCTTTTGTTATTTTGTTGTGATTAATGCTTCCGAGGGATCACTTTGTTTCCAGATTTTTATACTTCACAACAGCAGGTGTCAAGTGACGTGTGGCAGCTGTAAAATGTTGCCACGTACTTCATATCAGTGTTGTTATATTTTTCTGGTCCTTCTGGATCATTGATGCCAGTACTATTAAGTGTTGAGAATTGAGTAACGCTCAAACCGATGCTAGGGGGCGTGAGGGATGTTGCACATATTCATTATCTCTCATGCCCTCATGTACAGACTCAATCAAACCGAGTCTTCAATTCTTTTGTTATTTTGTTGTTATTAATGCTTCCGAGGGATCACTTTGTTTCCAGATTTTGTTATTTCTTCTAATGCTTATCTGTAAAAATCGGTTTGATTGCATGGCTAAAATAGCTTCCTCGGGGAAATCCAAAGAAGGCGAAACATACACGGTGATCATCAGATCTACATTGAATAAATTAGTAAATACGAATTTTAGATGGATTGGTGTTCACACAACGTTCCTTAAAACAAGCAAGTCTAGACCACTTGCGAATATCCGTTAAATCTGCATGATTTTCTTGCAATTTTATGGCTGAAAATTATGAAACAATTTGTCTGATCCTGGAACACTGATATTTACACATAACTCGTGTCACTGACAGCCAACAAATTGACCAATCAAACATTATATCAATTAGAAAATTGGCAAAAAATATATCAAACACCAAAACAATAATAAATGGGTCAAATTTTAAATTAAGCTTCCCAGACAAGATTTTTTCTTTATATTTCTTGTATTATATTAGGTCCAAATGTATTAAGACCAGCTACAAATTCTGACAGATTTAATTGTTTTTTTAATTTATATATATATATATCATGAATTCAGCGTTGCACTCACATGTTCACGTAACTAGGTCGCCGGTTCAATCCGTGATCTAGGCAAAATTAATGTCTTCGTGACAATTGATCTCGGACATAGCGTCTAATTGTCAGTCATCTCAAACCAATATTTCAAAAATCGTGTGGGATTAAAAGTCGGCCACTGGAAATGCAGGAAGCCGGTAATCGACCCGAAAGCCAAACTATTAAAATTGGCGTAAAATCAACGAAACAAAATTAATAAATATGAATTTATATTTCATGTATAAGCTTTTATACATCCAGCTTAAGTTGAGAGAATACCTTCTTTTAAATCAGTGAAAACTTGCTGTGTACAGTCGAACCTGTGAAAAAAAGATCAGAAAAAAGAGAGATCAATTATGGCCTTATTAAACAAGTGGTCTTTATTTGTGGCTTACTCTGTTCTGTTAAATCCATAAACGGTTGTTGAAATTATTGTTTGTCACCGTGGCCGAGTAGTTAAGGTCATTGACTTCAAACAATTTGCCCCTCACCTCTGTGGGTTCGAATCCCGACAAGGACTTTGGATTCTTTCACGTGTGAGGAAGCTATCCAGCTAGCTTACGGAACGTCGGTGGTTCTACTCAGTTACCCGTTCGTGCCTGAAATAATGCAAGGGCACCTGAGGTCTTCCTCCACCAGTAAAGCTGGTATGACCTATACTTTGTCGATGTGACGTAAAAAAACCAAAAACAAGAACAAGTCACAATGTGGTTTTTATTCAGAGGTGGTGTTTAATACAGGTTTGACTGTACATTTAATTGAGTTCCTTAGCCCTCCAGCCTGCTAGCGATAAGAGTCCCTTAGCTCCCAGCCTTCTAGCGATAAGAGTTCCTTAGCCCCCAGCCTTCTAGCGATAAGAGTCCCTTAGCCCCCAGCCTGCTAGCGATAAGAGTCCCTTAGCCCCCAGCCTGCTAGCGATAAGAGTTCCTTAGCCCCCAGCCTTCTAACAATAAGAGTCCCTTAGCCCCAGCCT